CCATCTGTGTTTCAGCTAGTCGCACAGCTGCTAGTGTTGAAGGGTCTCCTGCTGAGGCGGGGGGTGGCTGTGGCTCACTGCGGGGACAAGACACTGGCAGCAGAAGTTCTGGGAAGTACTCTTTGGTTCGAACCTTCCCGTAGTCCCGATAATATAGTTTTTATTTTTGCAATAAATCTTTTCAGTAGCAGTGAGCAGAGCCAGGAATATGCTTGGTCAACAAAATAATGCTGAGCACAGTCCTCTTAAAATCTGACTGCAGCATCAATAAAAGTAAAATCATAATGATGGAGCAGAAAAGGAAATATAAAACAGAATTTTGGAGACAAGAAGACAAATAGTCAACTGGCAATCAAACTGGAAAACTCAAGAAAGCTGAATCTCAAGCCAACAGTGGAGAAAGCTAACTTAATATTCATCAAAATGTTCAAGAATTGATGAAACCCTCTGAAAGTGGGGCATGAAGAGAATGCTGATACAAGGAGACTGGTTGAAGGATGTGTGAAAAGTGGTTGGGTCCCTATATCCCCTCTCCCATGCCATGAACTTGGGCAAGCTGTCCTTCCTCCACCCTGGCAGAAGTCTGGAAGTTTATTCTCCGGAGAGGGTGAAATGCAGCGTCTCTTTATCTGATACACTCGAATATAGTCACAGATGTGTTCTTCCAGAAGCAGAAACACTCACGACTGACTCACACAGGTTACATGAGATTTTTCTCCAACAGGCGTTTGGAAAAAAAAAAAAGAAGTATGAGTCCTGACTGCCCTCCATCTCCTGACCCAGTAAACTCCCTGTGCCTGATAATTTTTAAAAAGGCTCTATCAGTGTTTGCTATTATGATTTCTCTTCTTGTAATAGCATTTTTTCTACTGACTTTTTAAAAAGATACTTAGTGCTACTTTATCCAGTCTGTCACTATTGTTAGAGCTTCACTGGTAGATTTTACCATGATAAAATGTCTCTTTTTGCCCTGCTTGGTACTTTTCAATTTTAATTCTTTGTCTTATATTCCAATGGTCAGTTCTGTTTTTTATTTGTGTTTGCCTGATCTTTGTTCTTTACTTTTTTTTAGCTTTCAGTATATTCCTTTGTTCCACTGGTTCTCTTATAAACAAGGAATGTTTGAGGTTCTTTTTTTTTCATCTGACTGTGATTTGGGGAGTATAATTTATTCACATTTGATGTCATATTTAAAATGCTTGCTCTTACTTTCAGGATGTTTTTTTATGAGTTTATGCATTTCCTTCCTCGCTTCTGTTTTTGTGTCTTTCTTTGTTTGGACCTAGGTTTTATCTTTTTTATTTCTCTCATGACTTGGGAGGTATACTTTGTATGTCTTCTTCCAAACTCCGCTATGCGAGATGCAGCCCATGCAATCATGCAGCAGGTTGCTCTCATAAATAGAGGAGGGAAACATTACTCTTCCTGTGAGTTTGCACGGTCAGTACAGAGCTCTATTTTCCCCAAGCATGTGGAGAGAAAGCCGGAGCCTGAAGTGATCTCAGCAATGGGGTCAGCCTTACCTCTGTTCCAGAGTTTCCCAGTGTTCCTAGCTGCAGCAGTGCCCTCCCACTGTGCCAGCTCGGCCCTCATCACAGCATCCTTAACAAAGTCACTCCCTCTGCCTCATGGCCCAGGCTGATCAGGGGATAGGCCTCCCAGGACTGCTGGTGGAACTTTAAATTTGTCTTCCTGAAAGCTCCCACCACCATGCCAAAAGGCCCCAATTGTCCCCCCTAGATCTGCCTTCAAGATATAATATCTTCATCCAGCCTAGAGGCTGGAGACCTGCATTGGAGAGGTGCCCTTGAACCTGCCTTATCAGCTCAGCCTAAGCTGCCACTCAGCTCCCACTTCTACCATTTTAAAAGCAACATGGGGTGATGAGCTTTTAAAAAAACTGTGGTAAATACAAAATGTACCATCTTCACCATTTTTAAGTGTATAGTTTAGTAGTGTTAAATATATTCACATTTTCGTGCAGCCAATCTCCAGAACCATCTCGCAAAACTGAAACTCTGTATACAGTAAACAATACCTCCCTAGCTCTGCACCTCCTAGTTCCTGGAACTCACTGTTCTACTTTCTGTCGCCATGATTTTGGCTACTCCAAGTACCTCATACAAGTGGAATCATATAGTATTTGTCTTTTCATGACTGCCTTATTTCACTTAGAATAATGTCCTAAAAATGTATCTATGTTGTAGTCTGCATCAGAATTTCCTTCCTTTCTTAAGTCTGAACATGGACCCATTGTATGTATATCCTACTTTGTTGATCCATTTATCCATCAAATGGATCGTATGGTAGTTTTTTTTTAATTAATTCATTTATGTATTTATTTTTGGCCGTGTTGGGTCTTCGTTGCTGCTCGCGGGCTTTCTCTAGCCGTGGCAAGTGGGGGCTACTCTTCGTTGCGTTGCGCGGGCTTCTTATTGTGGAGCACAGACTCTAGGCGAGCGGGCTTCAGTCGTTGTAGCACGTGGGCTCAGTAGTTGTGGCGCATGGGCTTCGTTGTTCCGTGGCATGTGGGATCTTCCTGGAGCAGGGCTCGAACCTGTGTCCCCTGCACCAACAGGTGGATTCTTAACCACTGCGCCACCAGGGAAGCCCCTAAAAAAGCAGTTTTCTTCACCCGATTCTAGACCTGCTGAATCGGATTAGGGGAGGGAGGGAGGTGATCCTTATGCCCACAGAGATTTGAAATGCTCTGCATGAGAGGATTGAAATGTTCCTTGATTTTAACCGACAACTGCCGGCAGCAAGTCCTTAATTTTTTAGCTCCCCTGGAAAATGGGAGAAATGAAATCTCAGCTTGGGAGAGCTTCCGAAAAGTGACCACCAGTAGTCACCTTCTCCTGGGCTGAGTTCCCCAGCAGCGAGCCATGGAGAGTGGACAGAGAAAGCTTCCTGGTGGCTCCCCTTCCCCAACCCCAAGCCCCAGGGAGGATGGAGACAGCAAGGCAGAGGAAGAACTCTTCCTTCTGCCCAGGCACGGAGCCAGGGAAGCCTCCAGGGCAAGCCGCACAGGAGCCAGCCCTGCACATTGACTTTGTTATTTCTTGCTCTCTGCACATGGCGGTAGACCTGAGATAATCTCACTGCAAACGAAGCAGCACCCTGGGCTCTGGAAATTCTAATCATCAGCCATCATTCCTCTGTTCATTTCTTCAAGAACATTTGTGAACTCTCAGGTCCCGCCACAGTTCCTGTGGACGTGAATACTAGCCATTGAAAAGGAGGAGGGGGTGGTGGAGACAACAGAGAAAGAAAGAGAAAAGACACTAGTTAAGAGATACTGGGTCACCGAGGGGAGCCCAGTTCCCCCACAGTTTCCGGGGTACCTCCTGATAAGACGGTGCCGTACCTATGTGGATAAGCGCAAACTTAGGATGCAGGCTAGCTGGGTTTGAGTCCTGATTCTGCCATTTCAAGGCTGTGTGACCTTAGGCAAGTTATTTGACCTCTCTGCACCTGTGTATTCTCATCCGTGAAATGGAGATAATAACGGTATCTACGCCTCAGATTGTCATGAGGATTAAATAAATAAGCACACACCAAGTACTTAACAGTGCCTGGCACAGGGTGTTGAAGAAGTCTTAGGAATTATTGTTTTTGTTGTCATTATGAGGTGAGATAACTAGGAAAAAATGGTGGAGACCACGGGTGGCAGAGCTCTCTCTCTCTCGAGGGGTGTTCGTTGGTGCATGGGGTTCGTGGTAAAGCACACACCCTGGAGGGCAGGGGTTATCTGGCTCTTCTACTGAGACTTAAGGAAGTTTGGATTGGGAAACACATCATAGGAAAATTCACTTGGAGGCAGGGATGAGCTAGGAGCCCCATATCAGGTCGAGGTAAGGTTATAAGCTACGGAGCTGGCAGTGAACTCAGCAGCAAAGCCAATCAATGTCAGGTCTTAAACAAAGAAGCCACCTGATGACAGTAGATGAGCTTTATGGAGATGAAGCAAGTGGCAGTATGCAAATGGGGGGGGGTCCATGTGAATGGTGCCCCCAGGACAGCGTGATGCCCTGTCCCAGAATAGCACTTACTCTGTCATCAAAACTATTCTAGTGTTTTTCATTGATTACTCATTTGATCCTCACAGCAACCTCATAAGGTAAGCTATTTTTATCGCTCTACTTTAGGTGAGTACTGAGGCACTGAGAGGTTAAGTAACTTGCCCAAGGTCACACAGCCATTTTATGGCAGAGTTAGGATTTGAATTCAATTTCTGCAGAGTCCTTATGCTTAATTATTGTACTATATGATCTAACTAACATTTATTAAGAGCCTACTATGTTCCACGTTGCGGTTGGCTTATTTTTCGTAACAATTCTATGAGGTCAGCACTATTATTATTCCATTTTACAGAAAAGAAAACTGAGGCTCAGAGAGGACGAGTAACTTCCTCAAGGTCGCGTAGCTAGTAAGGGCCTGTACCCAGGCATTCTGGCTCTAGAGCTGGCTCTCAAAGCCCCCGCCTCAGAAGGCAACCATCGAACCATCTAGGAGAAAAAGGGCCAGAGGAGGAGAAAATAATTTCTAAGCATGCACAATCTAAACAGCCCTAATGCTGCAGAAATATTAGGGTGGGGACAGGCCGAGTGTGGAGGGGAGGTCGTGAGACTCGTCTAAAAGGTCATGCGAATGACTCAGGGTTCAAGTGTCAGTACAGTGGAGGACAGCGTCATTTATATTTCTCGACAGGCCTCAAGCTGCAGGAACTCTGAGAAACTCAGATAGGCTGATTTCTTCCGCTCCTGCATCTAGAGACTGGTCTATAAAAAGTCGATGCCCAGATCATACCACAGAGATGAATCCATTTCATTTCCCCGACCCTTCAATCACTGGTTGCCCGCCATCCCCGGGGCACAAGGTGCTGACCCAGCATCTGCAGCCCTACCCTCAGCTTGAACATCCCGGGGCATGTGAACAGAGAACCATTGTGAAAAGACGTCTCTAACACTCACTGACTATTTTCTAAAATGTTCTTTCAGCTTCTCCATGAACATGAACTAGCAGGGGAGGACCCAATAAGGCAAAAACGAGCCGGTATGTAACCCTTTGCTTGGCCATTTTTCTAGTAAATCCCAACAAATGACATTTGTTGTAACTTTCTGAAACACTGGGATCCACATAATACAGGCTCTGAGCACCTCAGTGTTCAGTTTCTAGAAGTAACTGCAAAGGAACTCCATTCTCTATCCAATGACATTAAAGGGGTCTCATCAGCACATTCAGGGCTCGTGTCCTCTCCCATCACCTCTCCTCAGAGCCTGAAGATTTCCCCGAGGCCCCTTCCTTCAGCTGCCCTCTGCCACCACCAAAAAGCCTGCTTCTCTCTTCTCAGCCCAGCAGCCTTGCCTTTTTTCTTTTTCCTTTTTTCTTTTAACCTCGTCTCCTCTCACTCAGCACTTTATTTTGTGAATCAGTTGAATCGCTAGACCCAAGTCCTTTTCTGCCTGCCACTCCAGTTGCCCACTGAATTCCCAAGAAGCTGTCTGGAAAACACAGGGCTCTGCCCTTTGGAGGGTTGGGGGCAGGTGAGAGCTGTGAACACCTGCATGGTGACGGTCAGTGTCTCCTCCCTTATGTGGGACCCTGAGCAGGTGGGTACATCTGGAGGCTGCATTTTCCAAGGACCAGCTCCTCCCACCACAGCAACCTTGCAAAAGCATCAACCTGATTTTCTCATTTCCCTGCAGAAAATCCTTCAAGGGCTGCCAATTGCTTTGGAGATAAAATCTGATTATCCGCTCACTGGACCCTAAGTGCTTTGCCCACTCACTCTCCTTCTGCTGCTTTTCGCAGAGTCAGTATCCCACTCACCACACCCCTTTGCTTGTCTGGGGGACTCAATTCACATAGGCTCCTGCCCTGGAAGGTCTTCCATCAATTCCCCAGACAGGGAGGGGCTGTGTTCCTGGGTTCCCCTTACCCACAATACATCCTCGTAGCCCAACATTTATCCCAATGCATTGTAATTCTTTTGCTTCCTGTTTGCCACTCCCAGGAGACATGAGCTCCCTTGAACCCTCTTCCTCTCTGCAGCCTGGCATGTAGCCCAGTGTCCCAACAGATGAGTGAACAAATAAAGAGAAGGCATGTCTCTGTCATAGCTGTCCCTGTGTGAGTTCAGAGGATATGTTCCTTTTTGCTAAGAGTCTGCTGGCTTCGTGGCTGGACCAACCGTCTAGAAACTTCTTCACTTGTAACATGGGGACTGAATCCTTTTCCAAGCATGTTGGGACTTGGTCTGTTCAGTCTGGTGGTCTAAAAGAGACTTTAGGCTGCCAGAGGGAGCAGGCTTGCCCCAAGGGCAGGATAAAGGCGTCCGGTAGAGCCCCTTACAGGGCCATAACAAGATCCGCCTGCTGCCCCGTGCGTGAAATGAGAATTCAACCAGTGCTTGCCGGAAGTTCATACCATGGGTCCTCTCTCCTTCCCTTCCTTCCCTTTTTTTTCTATTTTAACCTTGTTTTATATCCCTATGGGATCCTCACTCGCCCTCCTCTCCTTCCCTAAAGTGATCTACAGCACAGACTGTACTTTGTACTTCCTGTGCTTTAAAACAAGCAATATCACCTCTACCCACACCTCCCCCACGACAACCCCTTGAACCCTCCCACCCCCATGACAGGAACAGGACCAGAGATGTCCCCACTCAATATTTTGAAAGACTTTTCTTCTTAAAATCAAACCACTTGCGTTAAGTTCCAGCTCCAGGTTCTGCCAGCTTCTTCTAGGGCTCAGGCTGCCACCTGCCTTGGAACCAGTTGGTGACCCGACACCTGGAAAAGTAACATCTTTCTGCACTTCCAGTCCTAGCTATTTGTGATCCTGGTGCCAGCATGAGAGGTTAGCCCTCAGAGAGGAAACCACTTCCACTTCTAAGATTTGACATTCCAAAACTTTTCCAGACGTGCTTTCATTACAAACAGTCACGAAGATGATACATCAACATGAAAACATGTTTTCCATTTTTTATACATGGTTTGGGCCTCTCTAGGGTCATTCTGGAGGTGTTGATGACTCAACCCGTCATCTGCAGAAGAAGGATTGGCCTTGGTACTTGTACAAAATCACTGAAGTAAGAAGTGGTCATGGAAAGGCCCAGGCGCTGGGCCGCAGATGCTCAGAATATAAGTTGCCATTAAGAGCATCGCTCTCCAGGAAAACTAGGAAAGCAAGCCATAGGAAGGTTACGTCCAGCAGATGCCACACAGAAGCGTCTGTGTTCTGGAGCCTTCGTGCCAGAAAGTTGCAAACAAAGTTTCCAAGAGAAAGAGAATTCTCAGAAGGAATTTCCTTCTGAGGCACTGGACCAACTCTTCAGAGCTTTAAAGTTTGATCCTTTAAAGGTAGGATCAACACTCACATTTATTCTCAGAGCTGTGGACTTCTTCCTTTACCACATGTTAGGTATCACAAATATATCACACACATCCAGACACACACACATGTATATACATACATACAATACAAATACATTTTTACTGTACAGGGTTGTTGAGAGGATTAAATAATAGTATGTACTTATTTTTTAAATGTTAATATAGTTATCTGGGGGGGTATTTGATGTTTTTGTTTGCTTTAATGGTTTTTAAAATTAAAAACAAATTTAATGGACTTATTTATAAAAATATCGCATTTGACAGAGCCTGAAATATACCTGGTACGGAGAAGGTTTTGTAGAACTACTGAAGGCAGGAGGTTGGATGCCACGATATTAGCATTTTAGGAAAACTATCTCAAAACTCTGTGGGGGCGGAGAAACCTTCACCAGAAACTCGTAGGCCAGAGGCAAGAAGAGTATGAACCTGCTTGTTAGTGGCTCTTGGGGAGCAGAGGGAAATAAGCATCCGTCAAAGCCTCCAGAATTCTGTCCTGATTCCACCAGGAAGTGGATTCTAGACCAGCCGAGAGGCTGGCACAGAGAAGGCATTGGTGGAAGCCATCTGAAGTGAAAATTTGCCAGATGGTTACGGTTGAAGGAATTAGATGAAGAGGTTAGTGCCGGGAGACCAGCAAGGATGCTAGGCAGTGTGGACCGTCAGCGGCCCTGGTACATGGAATGACGTTAGGAAAGGAACATGGCGAACGCTTGTGAGAGACATTTGGAGAATTGGGTCAAAAGGACTTGGGGACAGACTTGACATAGGGGTGACAGGAGGGATGATTTATATGATACTTGGGAGTGCACAGACCCGGGTGACTGGGGAGGTGGAGGCCACGGGTAGAAGCCGGAGCTGGAATGAAAATCTTATTTTGGAAGTACAACAGTCAGCGGGAAATTTAGTCTTAAGGACAATCTTCACAGGGGACTGAAAGCAGAAGTTTCTTGGGAATTCCCTGGGGGTCCAGTGGTTAAGGCTCCGTGCTTCCACTGCAGGGGGCACGGGTTCGATCCCTGGTTGGAGAATTAAGATCCTGCATGCATGCGGCCAAAAATAAATAAAGTGCCGGGATGGACTGATTTTAAAGGTTTTGTTTTCTAAAAAGAGGCTTCTTAGGTTGGAAGTAACGCAAATGTGTCCTCAGCATCAGTCATGAAGTTCCCCATGTCAGATTTCTGAGCTTAACTGGGAACGTGTCTTGGGTCCTGGGCTGAAGAGTCCCCACTGGTGCTTCTTTGGTTTCAAAAGGAATGGCTGGTAGGAGAAAGGGAGACCCAGGGTGTCCTAAGCCCGAGCTGGAGGCACTATACATCTTCACAGATCCAGTGAGAGCAAGGTTCCTACCAGATTGGTTGCCAGCTGCCAGCTCGGAAATCCTGATCTTTCTGCAGACCTGCAGCCCCGCCGGCTGTGCTGTCTCCTTTTGATCTGTGTTCAGGAAATGCTGTGCATTCTCCAGGTTGAGAAACACATTTGGGGATTTTCCTGGCTTTAATCTTTCTTATGATAACTTGTGGCATTTCGTGCTCTGAGCAGGCGGTAGTGGTGGCAAAGTAAGAAGAGAAGGCTGGTTCTCTCTGCCTGGTGGGTTTTTTTTTTTTTTTTTTTTTTTTGCTTACCTGTCTCAAAAGTGAGACCTGATTGGAAGACAATTAGGTTTAGTTGACCTACCAGCAGATGGCTGCATAGATGTTAATCCGTACACTTATTATGATCAGTATTATTATTTCTACACGCTGTTTCAGAATGGCTATTATATGCCAGGCAATTTGCTAGGGGTCTTCATACCACAACTCCTTAACAACGAATTCTGCAGAGAAAATAGTGCTCCTGATTTACAGATGAGCAAAGCGTGGCTCACAGGGGTTCAGTAGCCTCCCAGGTGAGAGGGCATTTACCCCAGCTCTCTAGGCTCCAAGTCCTAGCTCAGAGTTAAGAGTCAGAGTTTTCAACATGACTTTCTGGATCTTGCCTATGAGATTCCGTGCCATGATTTTTTTTTTTTTTTTTTTAGCAAAGAAGTGTTTTTAATATTTAATTAGTATACGTTTATTAAGCACCTATCGGGCACAAAGAACATAAAACATGCTGACTGCTGCTATCAACTTTTAATCTGGTTGTAAGGATAGGATATGCACACACCCTAAGTTAAATTAGAATTCTGTAATATCAAAAGCAGAGTCATCCCATATTGGGAGCCTGAAAAAGGCAAAGCTACTGGCTAGAAAATGGTAGGAGCTACAGAGAGATAGGTCTGGGCTAAATGTAAGTTTCTAACAGAACTAACTAAAGGTGGGTTGGACCGTCTTATAGGGAGGTGAGTTTCATGTCATGCAAGGTATTTAAGCCAATCTGAATAAGCACCTGGCAGGAGCGTTTTTAGGGGGAATCACGGCATCTGATGAGTGGTTACCCAAGATGATCTTCAAAATACTCAGACAACTTCACGATGCCTTGATTCTGTGAGTCCTCAGGTCACTGAGCACATAGGCTCAGAGAGTGACCAGGAAAGAATTGATTGAGGTTGAGGCATGAAAGAAGGAGCAGAAATGGGACAGAAGAAGGGAGGGTGGAGGGAGCTCCAGGCAGAGGGAATACGAGGAGATTCTTGATGGCCTGGGGCTTTTTCTTACGCATATTGCGGAAGGAAACTGTGTTCTCGCTAACCACATTTAGAGGAAGTTTACGCAGCTGTGATTCTCGGGGCAGATTTGTTGAGTGAGGGGCTGTAGCATCACTTTACGCGGGGCTGACTTTGATGATTTGGGTGTATGATGAGCTAGTAGAATTGATTCTTTTCTCCAGGCCTCACAGCCCATTGCTTTATGCCACAGTGCTGCCCTCCCTCTCCCCCATCCATGCCTGCCCCCCAGACCATAGCCATAGTGTGAACAAACCTTTCAAAACCTAAAGGGAGAACAGGATCTTTGACTCTCTCCTGACAAAGGTACAGCAGACCCAGGTGATGCTGCCAATTGGTACCTACGAGAACATGTCAAGAAAAAAAGCAGAGCAGGTAGCTTTTAATATTTACCTGCTACAGGACGAAGGGGGAGAAACAAATCTAAATCTTCAGTGATGAGGAAGCATGGGCCCCTTTGGTCAAGAGAAAACCACACGAACCTCATTTCTCCTGAGTGACGTCAGCAGGCCCCACTCTCTTGCAGGTGAGAGGTTCATTTATACATTGATTTAGGCCCCGACTTCTGAGAAGCTGTAATTACCAGTAGAGTGGCCAGGCAAAAATAGTCTTGTTTGCTTAAACAGCTGTGATGGAGACCCAGAACTGCTTGTCACAGTTTGTGGCCAACTTTCCAGAAATGTCTCTATAAGATAAGTGCGGGCACTGATTAATGGGAAAGGAGAGGGGAAATCCTGGTTGGTTTGTGCCTCCCAGGCCGGGGATAAGCCTGCGTCTGTGACACTGATGACCCCTGGAATGTGCTACCTTCCACTGGGGCATCGGTGAGTCAGAAGAACTCAGACAAACAACACCAGGGCGAAGGAGCCCGAGGCGAAGCGAACACATTGAACTGTCTGGAATCAGGTGGTCCAGGGGCAGCAGAGAAGCATGGAAGGGCCTCTAAAATACACAGAGTGGGAGGAACCTTCCTGTTCCTCCTGGGTCCCTTGTAGCCTGGGGCAAGCCCACCAGCATCACTTTCCGAAGCTCTGAAGTCCTCAGGTTTGGAGGAGGTGAGGTGGACAGGGCGTGGCCTTTCGACCCCAAATCTTGGGCCCCTGACCCCACCCTACACAAGTCATACTAATCCTGAGCATCTGGGCTTCTTCCGTTAATCAGATGCTCTTCCTGGGCATTACAGGGACTGGAGGCCCAGTGGTGTTTCTGTGTTCTGCTTGCCCGTAACACCAGGATGCTTTGGGTTCAGGGCCAAGCCAATGGTCGCTGGTAGGTCCAGCCAAGCTATCTCTATCTTTGAAGTTATTAATTACTGCACGCCCACCCCACCTCCAAAACATCCTTTATTCTCTTTTCCTGAGGAACACGTGGCACCATTAAGGGAGAAATGATTCTACCAGTCACACTGTCAGAGTGAGGTAATGGAAAGAACCCCGTTCTAGAAGTCCAGAGATCCAAGTTCTGGTCCTGTGGACACCACCACCAAGCAGCAGAAGCTGGGGAAAGTCATTTACTCTTTGGGGGAATCATTTTTCTCATGCCTAAAAGCAGAGATTTCTGGGACTAACTTATAAATATTCTACTTTGACTCACCTGGGTCGAGGCCCCACAGTATCTGTGTGTGTAGAATCCCTACGTGTGGATATCATCAGTCAGGAGCAGGGACCACGGGAATAGATGATCGCCAAGGGCAGACCTGTAGCCTTCTGAGTTACTATGGTGTTTTCGAGCCTGTTTTGAAGAATTGACCATTTTCAAGAAGACATTTCTCTCTCTATTAAATGTTTCCCATCCTTATCAGTCTCTATAGAGGACTGATGCTCAGGCTGAGGGTTACTCTGAACCCCCCTTAGAAGTTGTCAAGAACATAAAAGGTGGCTGAGGGGAAGGGGGCCTTATAGGCTGGTGCTTCAATTCATATTTGCACAAACGCCATAGACTAGAACTCGCTCAAGTCACAGGAACTGTCCTCTTAGTCGTATTTTAAGCTTTTGGCTCAGCTCCTTGTAGGACCTCAGCGGAAGAACTACCTTGGCTTCAGTGGGGAATGATGACATCCAGGAAGCACCATGTGCTTTTCAGGCACATGCTCGTTCTCCAATTACATCTGTAAAGAGCAGAAAGAGGTGGGCTCAGGGATGGGTGATACTCACGACCCTCAGGCAGGCATGGAAATCATGCTGGGATCAGACCCTGGGAGGCAATAATGCAGGTGATGGAGTGGGTGATCCGGGATTGTTACTGACCTCACTCATCTCAAAAGCAGCTGCCGTCCAGGAAATCCTGTTTACATTCATTCCTGGCAGGAGAGTAGACTGACCACAGCAAAGAGGATCCTGGAGCTTCTGAATCCTCCGGAGGGTATAAACATTGCTGCATTACTTTTCAGGAAAAAGAATGTGCTCTAAAACAGAGCTTATAAATACCATGCAGCCGCCCTTCTTGCAGATGTTCCCAGCAGGCCACATACTATGTCTAGGGTTAGGATCACTCAGATTAAGATTAGCAGTCCTTCCAGGAAGCTTGTCTGCATCACAGAACCGTTTGCAAATCAGAAAGAAAACAGGAAATTTCAAGCAATGCCATAATATCGTGACAAACTGAGATTCCGCACTGGGTTTTAAAAGTCACCGTGTTCTACTTGTAAATACATTTTTATAAGGAGGAAACATACCGCAAGATGCATTCCAAATTTTAAGAAAATGTGCACAGATATTTTTTACAGTTTGAGTTAATTACAGCAATGAAATAATTCTCAACAAGGTTGATAAGTAAAACCAAACTCCTAGACAAACATAGTTTACAGCTGTAAGTGGACAAATATTACCATTTTCTACAATAAACATTTATCAGTTGGAGTTTCCCATAGCAAACGTACTCCATTTTAGTGTTTCTCATAAATAATCCTTGGAATATTTAAAACAAATCTTGTGATATTATGGGGGAAATTCTTTGTCATTTTAGAAAACAGACATAGAACTTTAATGTTATGGTTTTATATATATACATATATGTATATATATGTATCGTACTTCCAGATTTTACTTATATTTTAAAGTAAAAGGCTTGCAGGTATTCACTAATCTTTTCCTTATTTAACTGACAGGATAAAATAAGCCACAACTTGTCTTCTCAAGGCATCAGTATTAAAAATTCTCCTATTTTTTGAAGGTTCGTCATTAGCTACTAACCAAGCCCATGGCTTCTGCTCCTGTTATATATTTCAACCAGGAATGAGCCAAAGATTCTGGCCATGACAGAAAGGTGAATCTGTGATTCAACTCAGAAATCACAGGTTTATCAAGAATTGATTGGACATGAATTTATTATGTGCTGGGCTGCATGCCAGATGGAGTGGGTACGGCCATGAGAAGTAAAAGAAGCTGTTTCTGCCCTTGAGAACTTACAACCAACAGCCCAGACATGATGTAATAGTGGTAATTATGCAGGAACATTCCAATAGATCTATTGTCTGGCTTGCCTGGATTGGGAAACAGACTCATCTAGAATGCCAGCCAGGCAACCCGTCTTGAGACAATTTGGAAGAACAATGAATTGCTGAAGATCTCTTTTATTTTAATTTCCAATTTGCCAATTTTGCTTTTGTTGAGTACCTAGCATGTGCTGAACACCAGAGATACAGAGTAAGAACAAAGAGCCCAAGCTTTGCACACAGGCTAAGAACAAAGGGAATTAACTACATGACTCTTCCCAGAGGTCTTCAGGCCGTGAGTGCGTCCTTCAGCTCTCAAAATACATGCATGACCACTGACTGGTGTCAGAAACATACTGACTCATGCTGGTGAGTCAGGACCGTGGCTTTTATTGTCTAGATGGTTGCCAGGCCTCCCTGCCGGGTCTCCCTTTTTCTATTCGTGTCCCATTCGAGTCCGTTTTCCACACAGTCACCCTTGGCCTTGGACACCAAGGGGGGTGTGGGAATGGAGAGGATGGACAAGTCCTCAGCTTGGCCTGTGAAGCTCTCCAATGGCCAGAGACCACAGCGCTGATACGAGCTAGATCTGTTTCCTTTCTCCTCTAATATAGCAGAGTCGTAGAGAGGAAGAATCATGGAGGGAGGGCTTGGTGGTGATCAGTAAACAAACTTCTTTTTCTCTAAAAAAGTTCATTAGAAATTCTTAAAGGGTGATGTGTCCAGCATCCACATGTCCCCGTCATTAGTTTTTTTTTTTTTTAATTTTAATTTTTATATTTATTTAACTGTACCACACGGCATGCGGGATCTTAGTTCCCCGACCAGGCATCGAACCCATGCCCCCCGCAGTGGAAGCGTGGAGCCCTAACCACTGGACCCCAGGGGATTCCCAAGAAACTTCTGCTTTTTATTTTATATTGGCGTCTAGTTGATTTACAGTGCTGCGTTAGTTTCAGGTGTACAGCAAAGTGATTCAGTTATACACGTACATATATCTCTATTCTTTTTCAGATTCATTTCCCCTATAGGTTATCACAGAACACTGAGCAGAGTTCCCTGTGCTATGCAGTAGGTCCTTGTTGGTTATCTATCTTATATATAGTAGCGTGCGTCTGTTCATCCCAACCACCTAATTAAAATGTCATTGGCTTTAAGCGCTGAAAGGTCCATCACGTTCTCTCTCTGCCCACCACAGTGAGTTCTCACAGCCTTCATGTGCTTTCGTTCCAGTTGCCGTGAGCAGTCCTGCAGCCCAAGAGTTCACTGTCAATGTTGAGGTCAGTTTTGAAGATGCCTCCTTCCTGGAGCCTAGCAAAGCTTACTTGAAAAGCCTCAGTTTTCCAGTTCAAGGGGATGACACTGACCCAGCTACCAGCATTTTGAGCATCGAGGTGACAACAGGTGAGTAAAAGACCCATTGCTTGAAATAGGAGGATTGGGCCAATCAGGAGAAATGTTGCTTTGAGCCCCTTCCTGTTAGAGGGGGATGTGGGGTGCGGAGAGGGGTAGCCTGGGGAGAGTTGACCTCAGAGAGGAGGTAATGGGATGGCTGGGTAAGGAAGATTAGACTTACTGACCATGATACTCATATCTAAGCACCCCAAATTTTCTCCGTGCCCCTCTTCCTGTGCCTCCCCCACCCACTCTTCCAACAGCTTATCTTACGATCCTTTCAAGAAAGGCATGTTTTTTAATTAAATTTTTTAAATTGGAGTATAGTTGATTTACAATGTTAGTTTCCGCTGTACAGCAAAGTGAGTCAGTTCTACATACACATATATCCACTCTTTTTTTAGATTCTGTTTCCATATCGGTCATTACAAAGCATTGAATAGAGTTTCCTGTGCTATTCAGTAGGCTCTTATTAGTTATCGGAAAGGCATTTTTAATCATAGTACACAAAACCGAGGATTTTTATGGCCAGTGTGTGTCAAGCCCTAAATGCGGTAGGTGGTCCAGGGGTGGTCGCTTCCGCCATCCTCTTAAGGCACATATGTATCTTACATGGAGTCAAAAGTTCTGCTAATATCACCTCCACATCCATCTCAAAAATAAGTAAATGAGGGCTTCCCTGGTGGCGCAGTGGTTGAGAGTCCGCCTGCCGATGCAGGGGACACGGGTTCATGCCCCGGTCCGGGAAGATCCCACATGCCGCGGAGCGGCTGGGCCCGTGAGCCATGGCCGCTGAGCGTGCGCGTCTGGAGCCTGTGCTCCGCAATGGGAGAGGCCACAGCAGTGAGAGGCCCACGTACAGCAAAAAAAAATGTAAATGAAAAACAACAACAACAAAAATAAAATAACCAAAAAAATGCTTTTCACGTCAGCGGGAGAGAGATTTTGACAAAGGGGATCTTGTTGGCTCCCTTCGAATTATCCCCAGCCAATGTTCACCACACTCACTAGCAGCCTTGACTTCCTCCATTCCTTCTGCTTCTCCTTCACCCCCTCCTGCTGCTGGAGCACAGGACGGGAGCGGTGTCCAAAGATCCCAGGGGACTTGGTTGTCCCTCCTATTTCAGGAACAATTATTTGATGGCTTTCCTTTGGGTGGTCACTCTGTGGGCCTTTGCCTAGATGCCCACCCGCAGAACAAACAGCTCACAGTGACGTGGCTTTATTTCAGTTTTAGACATAAATTCGAAGCCCTCTGTTTTCAGAGCATTTTTCAGTGTCAGTTTTTAATGGGATTGGAGTCTGTTTGGGCTGTTCACATTTGACTTGAAATGTAAAAGGCACAAGTTTAGAATTTTTCCTCATACTCTACATTTGTTATCTATTGCTGTGTAATGAATTACCCCCAAACTTAGCATCTTAAAACAACAAACTCGGAATTCCCTGGCGATCCAGTGGTTAGGACTCTGTGCTTTCACTGCCGAGGCCCCGGATTTGATCCCAGGTTGGGAAACAAAGACCCCACAAGCCGCACAGCATGGCCGAAAAAAAACCCCAAAACAAAACAAACAAAAAGCTACAAATGTTTATTACGTCACACAGTTTCTGAGGGCCAAAAATCCAGGAAGAGCTTAGCTGGATAGCACTGGCCCTGGGGTCTCTCATGAGGTGGTAGTCAAGCCGTCAGCCAGAGCTGCAATCATCTGAAGGCTCAGCTGAGCCTGGAAAACCCACTTTCAGGCTCACGCATGCGGTTGTTGGCAGCCCTCAGCTCCTCACTAGCTATTGGCTAGAGACCTCACTTCCTAATCATGTGGGCCTCTCTATGACGTGTCCTCATGCAATGCAGCTGGCTTCCCCCAGAGCAAGTGATCAGAGAGAGAGAGCGCGAGAGAGTATAACCAAGAGGGAAGCCACAGCGTCTTTTATAACCTAACCTCAGAAGCGATGCACCACCACTTCTTTCTATATTCTCTCGGTCACACAGACCAACCCTGGTACAACATGAGAGGGAGTTATAAAAGGGTGTGAGTACCCAGAGGCGGGGATGGGTCGTGCCATCTTGGAGGCTGGCTGCCATACCCTCTAGTCCGGGAATCTGTTGAGCACTTTATCATTGTAGGCAGCCCCTGGGATGGTCAGAGCTGTCATCTTTTAGATGGCCGTGCCTAACAGCAAGGTGACATGTACGGGAATCATGAGAATCTCATGCAGAACTACTGAACTTCCCAGAAGGGCAATATGAAGTGGAGTTAGCGCTTCCTACAAGTATAAATACTTGACGTCTATAAACACAAAAGCGGTAACTACCTTTTCTCTCCTCATTGTTCTGGTTGATGGCAGTCTGCAGACCTACTGGAAATGAAATCTGGTGCTCCTGTGAGAAAGGCTATAAGTGGCCTCAGGAAAAGTGCCTCCACAATCTCACTTGTCAAGGGCCTGATGGCTCCCCTTCAGGGCATCATTGCAGTCTCCTTAAGGGACTGCCTCCCAAGGGACCTTTTTGCCAGCTCCAGGGGGGTAAGTAACTGCTCACTGAATGTTTGTTTGTTGAGTGGCTATTTGATATCAACTCAACCAGATGCTTCTCTGTCCTGTGTGTACTCAAATGCTGACATGGGATTTTTAAAATATTGCCCTGTGTTCTTCAGCAGATATTACCCTGCGAATGTCGGTCAGACTCAATGTGGGCTTTCAAGAAGAACTCAAGAACTCTTCCTCTGCCCTCTATAGGTCCTACAAGACTGACTTGGAAACAGCGGTGAGTTTTGGTCCCAGGAGGCTCTGAACCAACAAACTCTGAGCTGAACTGAATCTGTTGCATTTATAGTGGGTCGTTTGCTTGAATCTGTCAGAATTTATGAATGTGAATGTTGAAATTATTTCTATACCTCTGGGACGATGAATTAAGAAGCGCTCAAATCAGACAGTGTTCAGGGGATGACGGGACATCATCTTGACCTATAGGTGGAACTTCCTCCCAAGATAGAATTGATTCACATAAAATTTGGCAGCATCAACTCACAGAAACCTACTAAAAGGTCCAAGAACCTGGTCTAGAAGCACCAGATGGTGCATTTCTATTCATCTTCGCACATCACATGGGTGAAACCCCTAACATCTTTTGTGCAGACCAGCCCAAGTCTGGCACAGAGGATTCCACACCACTCTACACTGCAGGTCCCAAGGCATTCACACGTAAGGCAGATTTAAATTTACTCACGTAGATAGGTTCATTTGTGTCATATTGTAGATTCCACATAACAGAAACAGACTCATAGACATAGAGAACAAACTTGTGGTTGCCCAGGGGGAGTGGGGGAAGGGGCAGGATGGATTGGGAGTTTGGGATGAGCAGATGCAAACTATTATATATAGAATGGATAAACAACAAGGTCCTACTGTATAGCACAGGGAACTATATTCAATATCCTGTGATAAACCATAATGGAAAAGAATATGAAAAAGACTGTATACATATGTAAATTTACTCATGCAAAAAAAGAGGATATTCTCTCATTGTAAACTGTGGGCCAGACACTATTCTAAGTGCTTTACATTGGATTAATTCATCTAAACCTAAATGCTTTGCTGAGTCAGTTCATTTGGAATAGAGCTTCTCAACTGGTGTGGTACAAATTGCCACAAGTGGGCTGAGGTAATGACTCCCCTTAACCCTCTGGGCAGCCAACCCTCTGCCTCAAGCCAGGAGCGGCCTCCTGTTTACTCAGTCAAATATTACCATTGTTCATGGGCGCCATGATGAAACTCGGATACAGATGAGCTGTAGGATATCTGATTTGCATATCCGACATGTAATAGTTCTGCACAGCATGAGAATCCTCCTCACGCACACACGTGACACACTAAATTATACACTTTTGAGGAAAAAAGGAGAGTTACATATTAACCTTTGGATCCCACCCATCCAGCTACTTAACACAGCACTTTGCACACGGCATCCGCTCTGTAAATATGACTTGATTCAAATTGAATTTCCTGTGGGGTTGGAATTCAGAGAAAACAAAATGAAGTAAAAACATCAGTAAAAACCACATTGGCTCAACCAGAGCTGTGATATGTTAAGTGAGGGATCCGGTCCGGCAGTGTGGCAGCTGCAAGAAGGCACCTCGAAGATTTCCAACTACAGGAAATGCAATTGATTGAGGGCCCGGCTGCTGCCGCATGGCAGGGCTGGCTGCCTGCTGCTAGTGAATGAGCAGGGCGGGTCTGTCTAGCACACGTGGGACTCCTTTGAAGGCTGTACTGAACCTTCCCAGGCTCAGTCTAGGATGATTTCATCCAGCCTGTCCTGCACAATTTCACTCGGGTCTGATGGCTCTCCCTGTCTTCCCCACTGCCTTCCCATTATTTTCCCCTAGGCATTTCCCTAAGTAAATTTTTTGCACATTTACTCTGGTGTTTGCTTCCTGGAGAACCCAGAATGACCTAGGTAGATAGGAATCACTTCTTCAAAGATCTGCCGCTAACAAAATTTACAGGAGAGCATTTTACCCAGGGTGATAAGAAATAGACACTCTTCACTCTGTTTCAAATTGTTGACCCGTCTCTCAGTGGACCTTGATCCGTGACACTTGTCTTGCTTTATTTTCCAGTTCTGGAAGGGTTACAGTATTTTACCAGGCTTCAAATTGGTGACAGTGACAGAGTTCAGGTAAGAATGCTATAACTGGGTCATTTTTATCCAATGGCAGATACCAAAACGTTAGTGAAAAAGCAAAAGCCCGTTAGAAGGGCACCATCTGGGATGCCCAGTGGGGGCAGTTTGGTAAAGGTGAAGACAGTGTCAGATTTCCAGGGCTTAAAGTGAAAGGAAATACTGAGAATAGTAGCTCACTCCTTAGAGACGTACCTACTTAGAAGGAAGGTGAGAAAAAGACTTGTGTTCATTCTATGCACGCAAAAATTTTGCAGACAAAGATGTGGGATACATTTGCCATCTAGGGAAGTCAGAAATACAAAAATGAAATAAAGTCATGCATGCAATGATGCCTTTATTAAAAAAAGTTAGCCAGCTAGCCATGGCCACAGAGTTGCACACTGTCATGTGAATGCATCCCTGTGGAGTTAGGCACCGGGCAGCCCTAAGTGTGTTTGCACAGTGTTTCAAAAAGTTAGTTGCCAATTAAAAAATGAAGAATGTTTACAGAAACGTTGAGGATTTTGGCTTCACTGGATATTCAGCATAGCTGGTAACCTGGGCCAGCAGACTGTGTGACAACAGTCTCTACCTTATGGCTTATATCCTTTGACCCATTTGTAGGATTCAATTCACTCTGCCCCATCTGGCTCTTCCAGTCATTGATGTTACCCATCTGCAGACACTTGAGTGTTCGAGCCCTGCCTCAGGCTTTCAGCTAGAGCTTAGAAACAGGTTGGATTTCAGTGGACCCTTGAAGATAAAGTCCCCAGGCTCTGTTTTCTTATGCAAATAAACCATAAGGATCTAGACTCTTCCAGATCACTTACTGCTTTACTGAACTGAGTGGTCTCCATCCAGGCCTGGAAGTGTGGTTGTGGTGTATGAAGTCACTACAACAGCAGCGTCACCTGAATTAATGCACAAAGCAAACGAGCAAGTAACACAGAACCTCAGTCAGACCTACAAGATGGACAGCAGTTCCTTCCAGGTTACTTACAGCAGTAAGTAGAACATCGCTACATTTCTCCAATATATAGATTCTACTTAGATATGGTAACGGCATTTATCATGATGCTTAAATCTGGGAGATCACATTACAGTGTCCTCCGTGGAGAGAGACTCTCCAGTTCCTGGCATAGAGTTTTGGTACCTTCTCCCCATCTTAGGCCTGTTCAGAGCCTCGTTACACTGCTAATATCACTGCGACTGGGGAAGTGGTGGTGGTGGTGGGGTTCCCAGGAGGGAGAGATATTACAAGGGGGCCACAGAGCCATCTGGGTTTATGGATTTTTTTTAAATTAACAGACCCAAAACATCCAAAAAAGTAGAACTAATGTTGTGGTGGTGGAAGTGGGGGATATTCATGAAATGCATTGATATTGACTAGGGGGACCGTTGTTACTTTAGAGCAGTGGTTCTGAAAGTGTGACCCCCAGACCAGCAGCATCAGCAGCATCTTGGTACTTGTTAGAAAAGCAAATTCTTGGGGCCACCCCAGACCAACCTGGGCCAGTCTGTTCCGGCAAGCCCTCCAGGTGATTCTGATGCATGGAAAGTTTGAGAAACACTGCTTTGGATCAGATGTAGCAGTGGTAAGAGTCCTGGTATTGTAGATGTTCTCCCTCATTTTACAAACGGGGTATAGAGTTGAGCTCTGTTGTGTAATTAGGTGGGTGGATCGATTGTTACCTGGGGGATAGAAAGGGGAGCCAACTGAGCAGAGATTTGGTGGACCGGTACTGGCCGGTAGGTGTTCTGTCTAACTCAGGTCCGTGGTTCCAGAGTGAAGGTGACTCCTCTTTGGAACAACACAGTTCACCATGGGGAGGGCACTGAAGGGATTGTCTGAGGCACAGCTGGAAGGAAAAGTGCCCCTTCTCAGGAGTCAGACCATCCTTACAACAGGTCCATACTCTTTCTCTCTACATTCGCTGCTAATATTTTTAAACATTGGATCATTTTTAAAAATAAAATATTGAAAGGGATATACACAACGGTAAGAAAGTGCTACAACATAAGAAAGAGAAAAACAGCAAGATAAAAATTCAGAATGAATAAGGCAGCAACCACATAGATGAAAACTGAAAAATTCAACGCAGGGAAGTAAGTGACCTCCAGGTGCGGACTCACATGGAAGTAATCCCAGCATCGCCAACCCCTTCCTCACCCCTAATGCCATCCCACCAACCGGCAGATGCTTTGGCCTGAAAAAACTTTTTTCTTTATGGTTCTGAGGGCACAGGAGAATAGCAAGCTCTAGCATACATGAGCTTCAATTATGATGACTCTTTCCCCCAAATTTCCATTGTGCTGAATATAGTCAGACATTTACAGGAATAAGTATCCAGCAGTTTTCCTGACCGGTGGCTGACAGTCAGTCCAAAACCACAAAAGTGTTCTAGTGTCTGTAGCTTATTCTTCCAAAGAGCCATGAATTTGTTGCGAATGACACTCGATGCCCCTTTTTGCAAGAGAATCTACATTCATCTCTGTCCTTGATATGCACAGCCTTAGACCAATGACCATGAACTATGTCACATGCAATTCCACCCCCGGGAGCTTAAATACCAGCCTGCTCTCCATAGGGTTAGTGGGGTTTATCCAAAATACAAGGATCCAAAAAAGTCAAGTAGCTGAGTAGGTTTTTTTTTTTTTGGCCGCGCAGCATGTAGGATCTTAGTTCCCCGACCAGGTATCGAACCCACGCCCCCTGCATTGGAAACGCAGAGTATTAACCACTGCACCGCCAGGGGAGTCCCTGGGTGGGTTTTTCTTAAATTATAATTTTATCTGGCGGCAAGACTGAGGGGTGCAGGGGAGAGGAAGAGAAAAAGAAAGAAAAATGCTGAATGAATGAGGTGGTATCAGGAAATTATTTTTAAGTCCATCTTCATGAAACTATTTCAGGAAAGGCACATGGCAGTCTTCAGAATGGTCCCTTTTAGTTTGCCGTATATTAATCCTCTAGTGATGTTTGACCAATCAGCAGGGTCCCTTAACCGGAACGCCCCTTTCTTTAATCTCTCCCAATATATTTATGATCAATTCCATATAACCACGGAAATCCGGCAGTTTTCCGGAACCTTGTAATTAGCAGTGGTGCTAATGAAAAGCGGGCACAGTTATTGTACCTTTTCTATGTTAAACCCAGTGTTTTACACATTTTTCATCTTCATACATCCTGTGAGGTAGATACTATTATCGCCATTTTACAGGTGGGGAAGTGGAGGCTTCGATTTCAATCATTTGCTCAAGGCCACGTAGTAAGTAACATAAGTTTCTGTGCCTTCCTGGTCAGTTCACTACATGAAATATTCACGGATGGCCTTGCTTCCTAATAGTTGAATGCAATTTTCTGAAATCTTATTTTATCCAGGAGCCTAAAAAACGGGATAACAAATATTTTAGATACCTTGATATTTTGACCAGAACATCACAGCACCCTAAATTAATTGTGTGGTATTTTAGTCCACGTTTACAGTACGGACAGGGTGTGGCGTGGGCATAAAGAACCATCCAAAAGAGGAGTTGCCAAACCTGCTTCCCCAGCTCCTCTGATTTTCTCAGCACACGGAGCTCATGAAGGACATAGCACAGCTTAGAGGGAAAAATGTGTATGTTGTGTAAACAAGGGACGGCCATAAAAACACACACAAAAACAGCAAACACCGTGTTTTGATTTCTGTCTGTGAAATAGCTTAATACCAGGGTTCCCCAGAATTTTACTGTGAAAACTATAAGAATAGTTACTATTCCTCCAAATCACCTCCCGTGGTAGTGCTCACTGCTCCTGTTTTCCAAACGAGGGAGTTGAGGCTCAGAGATGCTAAGCAAGTTCCCCAGGGCCACACAGCTATGCCTGGTACAGAACCAGGATTCAAATACAGACCTGTGTATCTCATAAGCTCCCACTCTTATGGGCCCATGGGTGTTAGGTCTTTAAAAACATTCTTATTTCCCAAGCATACTTTATTGTAAAAAATTAATTTATTTTCCCACTCTTAATTCATCAACGACACAGGACAGAGCTTTCAGTCAGCATGAGGTATCAGTTATCAGTAAGAAGCAGTTGATATCTTTCAAATCAGTAGCAAAGAAACTTGATGTTTAGGTTAGCTGTGGTGACTTTTTCATAAGCAAATGTGCAATTTTCTACCAGACTATTTAAAAATTTTTTTGCATTTTTATTTTATTTTATAAATTTTATTGAAGTATAGTTGATTTACAATGTTGTGTTAATTTCTGCTGTACAGCAAAGTGGTTCAGTTATACATATATATTACACATTCTTTTTCATATTCTTTTCCATTATGGTTTGTCACAATTATATTGAATATAGTTCCCCGTGCTATACAGTAAGACCTTGATGTTTATCCATCCTGTATATAATAGTTTGCATTTGCTAATCCCAAACTCCCAGTCCATCCCTCCCCTCACCCCCTCCCCCTTGGCAACCACAAGTCTGTTCTCTATGTCTGTGACAGATTATTTGAAATATTGAAAATAGCTTTGGGATCCCCATTAGTACCATTGAGGACTGTTAAGTGTGCAAAGATCCCAAACTGGGAACCATATCCCTAGTAGCTGGCAGACTGTCACTCTGGGGCCTCAGATCCCAGCTGCCCAGGGGTGGAGTGAGGAAGACGCGTTGCCTCATTCATCACCACGGAGACCTCTCTAGAACCCCAGTGGTGGTGGCATTCAGGGAGTAGCATTAATTCCATGTATTTGCTTTGGGACCCTAATATCTTTTGTTTGGGTTCCCAGATGAAACGAAGTTCTCCATCACCCCAGAAATCATCTTTGAAGGGGATACAGTAACTCTGATGTGTGAGAACGAAGTTTTGTCCTCCAACGTATCCTGGCAGCACGTGGAAACAGGCTTCGACATCCAGAACAGCAGCAGATTCTCCATCTACACCTACGTGCTCAACAACATGACCTCCGTGTCTCGCCTCACCATTTACAACATCACGCAGGATGATGCGGGTGGGTTGCCATCCAGTAACCAGGGCGAGGAAAGGAATGAAGGGCTAAGAAAGAATCAAACCGTGGTGGTGTGTGTAGATAGCCTTTTCCTCTTCAAAACGAAGTCACCAGGCTCAGCTTTTCAAAACTGAAGATTAATCCCATGATGAATGAGCCAAGCAACTTTAGCCTTGGGAGACAAATATAATTTTCCACATTTACTGAAGCTTATGAGTTGGAAACTAAGACAAAAAGTAAACTCCTTTTTTTAACATTTAAAAAAAATTTAGAAGAGCCTTGTTGAGGTAGAATTGACATATAATAAGCTGTACATATGTGAAGTGTATAATTTAATAAGTTTTGACATGTGTGTACACCCGTACAACTATGACCACAATCAAGGTAGTGAACATATGGGTGCCTGCTTTCCTCCCCCGCCCATTTTCTTGTCCTCTGTTTTAATCCCTCCCACTTGTCCCTCCCCAGCAACCACAGAAGCATACGTTTTGTACCTGACATTTTAGAATTTAATAGCCCCATCGTAACCCAGATGTCAACAGGAGCATCTCTTTTTCTCTGAATGAGAAACTGGGCTGCAGACACATGGGTTCTATCGTATGTTTGTTGACTCTGACCTGCCACAGAGTCATGGATGCCAAAATTATCCATGATCTCCTAATTCTCCAAGGTTTTCCCATTTTCCCTTTCTATCTCTGAAGCATCCCCACACTTCTTTTCTTACTAGCGAGGACTCAGATTTCTGCTCTTTCCTGAGAACAGCTCTCTACTCTTTTACCTTATGGCATCAGAAATACCTGCCTTGACCTTCTGCACTTCCTGAATGTTCCTTTAGTGTTGTTTAGACCGAGTCTCAGATGCTTTTGAAAGTGATGTTTCACGAAGTACCATCATGACACATGAGATGAGGCTATCATTCTTCTAAGGAAATAGACATGTGTAATAGTAATAATAAATGCCTTTGTGTGTTCAATACAGGTGAATATATTTGCAAACTGACATTAGATATTTTTGAATATGGGTCCAGAAAAAAAATAGATGTTACATCCATCCAGATTTGGGCAAATGAAGACATGAAGGTGATGTGTGACAACAGTCCTGTGTCTTTGAACTGCTGCAGTGAGATGACGGTGAATTGGAGTCAAGTTGAATGGAAGCAACAGGGGTCTGTAAGCATTCCAGGTGAGACTGTTAGAAGCCCTTCTGCAAACAGGTTTTTGCCTCTTGGCCAAGTAAAAATGGGAGATGCGGTCGGTGCAAGAGCAAATGTCAGGTGGCTGGGTTTTATTCCAGACTGAAAAAGTATGAGGTTTGATGCCAGCTCCAGCTTAGCCATTCTAAAACAAAATTCCCAAAATATACACACACAAGTTTCATGCTTGGGTTGTAGACAAGATTCTGGCAGAGAAGACCCAAGAGGGAGTGACAGGATGATGCAGGTGCATGGTGTCTTGCCTACAGACAAGACAAGCTTGTCCCCACCGCCCTCTCCTTTCCCTCTTCAGCAGAGAGCCAAGGATGAGGTCATTGGCTTTGCTTTGGGGTCTGAATCTGAGAGTCTCATTCCTGTGTCTCTCCTCTTGGTGTCTGTCCTTCCCACTTCTCTGCCTTTGTCACCATGTCTCTTTCTGTATTATCTGACTCCATGCCTCTGGTTTTATATCTTTCTCTGTCAACCTGTGTGTCTCTCAACCAATGTCAATTTCCGATCCTGTTTGCAGATCTGAGATATCACTGGAAATTCCCCACCTTCCAGTTTATACTGGTGAATGACAAGAAGAAGAAATTAAAATAGCATTGGTGATTCTGTTTTGTATACTAGTTTATGATCAACCGATTTTTAAAAGATATGTTATCACTTTTAATCCCACTTAAACTTGACCACAAGTTTGAAGCTGGCATTTTTTTTTTGCCTCCCATTTTCAAATAAGGAAATCGAGGTTCAAATGAAATGACTTATCCAAGATTGTCATAATTAGGAAAAGAAAAGAATTGGGACTCACCTTGTTTCACAGCCTTCGCCTTGGTCAAACTATATCACACATGCCTGGTGAGCCAGCACTAGAGTGAGTTGATCCGGCAGAATTTGTATTGAAACAGAAGACTGTTTTCTGCCTAGAAACCTCACATAACAAGATCCAATCTTTCCCTTGAGAAATGACAGTATTATTTGCTCACCTTTTGTTTGTTTGTTTGTTTTTTGCGGTACGCGGGCCTCTCACGGTTGTGGCCTCTCCCATTGCGGAGCACAGACTCTGGATGCACAGGCTCAGCGGCCATGGCTCATGGGCCCAGCCGCTCCGCAGCATGTGGGATCTTCCCGAACCGGGGCACGAACCCGCGTCCCCTGCATCGGCAGGCAGACTCTCAACCACTGCGCCACCAGGGAAGCCCTTGCTCACCTTTTTTAGTAAAAAATCCTTAAAGGAAAATGTGGCTTTACCCATGAAATACATCAGTGTGGTGGAGCTTTTATTTTATAAAGCCGTTGCTATCAGACATTATTAAATCATAAATAAAATAAGGATCAATCTGGATGTAACGTTTTCTGAGCACATCTAATTTGAAAAGCACATTTGTTTTCTACCTTAAAGTGCTCCAGAGAATGGGAAAAGCATCTGGTAACTGTTGAACATGTTGACATATGGTCCATTTAGTCACTTCCCTAATTTTTAAGGAAGAGGAGGTGTAGACATCCTGGAGGAACTGCCAGATGGGAGAAGGACCTTGCACAGTTCCCGGAGTACTGACTTAGACGCTTTCAACTGTGAGAGGTGAAAAGCCTCGCCATCTGGCAAGAGAACCAGGAAGTCTGCTGTGCAGATGCTCAGGAACCTCGCTGTGGCCACCGCTGCTGCAGACATTCGTAACGCCCAGGGTGGGCTGAACCGACCGGCGGAATAGTGGATTTCCTGCCACAGGGCTGGCCGCCGGGGGCCGGCAGGGTGGTTTCTCTGATGAATTTAGCCCCTGCTTTCAACACCCTGCCCTCCTTCCGTCTCCCTTGCCGTCCCCTCTCTGCGGCAGTCTTTCTCCAGATTCCACCAGTTCTTCTATCACTCGTTTTTCCAGCTCAGCAGAAAGCAGTCTAGCTAGATAATTCACCCCAAAGCATCTAGCAGTGCATGTATTACAGCTTCTCAGAAACGGTTGCACTGGATTTTCAAAGCACTTCCGGCAGAGGATAAGACAGAAAGGAAGTAATCTGCGTGACAATTTCTAGCTTTAAGAAGGCGGTCTTTTTCGAATAGGGAGGGCTTTCTGAGGCTATTTCAAATCATGGGGCATGGGTTGATGATATAAACGGTAATGGTAACAGAAGTAATAGTGTTAATAGTACTAGTAGTAATAACAGAGGTACGAATAGTCATTAGTGCAGCTTCTGGTTCGCCTGTACTTAGCGCTAGCTTTGCCTATACGGGAAGGTACTGACCACTTGGGGAAATTTAAAAGCAACAGCGTTTGTATTCTCACCATAGCTCTTGTTATGCGATGATGAAAAAATAACAGTCTAATTCCCTCTTTGACAGAACAGTTTCCAGACGAGTTCGTCAACTTCTTCTTTGCCCTGCCTACCACTGACATTTTTTTTTTTTTTTTTGCGGTACGTGGGCCTCTCACTGTTGTGGCCTCTCCCGCTGCGGAGCACAGGCTCCGGATGCGCAGGCTCAGCGGCCATGGCCCATGGGCCCAGCCACTCCGTGGCACGCGGGATCCTCCCGGACCGGGGCACGAACCCGCGTCCCCTGCATCGGCAGGCGGACTCCCAACCACTGCGCCACCAGGGAAGCCCTAATTGTGTGTTATTATTTATGCTTCTGTGCCATCTGAAATGCTATGTTTGTAGCCCAGTAGGACATAAGTAAGAGATAAGGGAGACTTTTTTTTTCTTTATTGAGCAGAAATCGGCCTTGTGGGCTTCAAGTCACATTATAAAGGGCCGCTAGAGACAGGCCTGCCTCGGGGGCTGAGGCGAGACCTAGAGAAGCAGCTAGAAGTGGCAAACAGCCCCGTCAGAGGCGGCCTCTCCCAGCCTGGCTGCCCCTCAGGGTGTCCACAGTTGTCTTTTGAAAAAGACCAGCTGTCAAGGTTCCTCCTGAGAGCCACTTGTTCACAGTCTCCACGTTTGGGCTCCAGGCAATTTAATTTTCTTCAGTTTCACAGGAGATGTTATTGTGAGAACCACGGATTTCATCCCATCCCTCGTCTTCCACATGAGGAGACTGAGGGTTTCCGTGAGCTGCCCACCATCTCCCCGAGAGCACCAAGGGTCCCCTCCTCACCCACTGCTCTCTCTCCTACCCCCTGTGCCTCCCTCTGTGTTCCTAATGTTGCTGTAGACAAATCTGATTTTAAATAGTGATTTCTCTACTTGTAGGAATGCACACAAAATTGGGCTTAAAAAAGGAAAAAGAAAAAAAAAGAACTTGAACCCAGTCTTCTACTGTAGAAAAATTAGCCTTACAACCCGTGCTTTCCAGTAAGACAGAATCTGGTCCTGAAGAGCTGTCATTCCAGCTCTGCCCTGTCCCTGCTGCAGAGCAAGTTGGGTCATCTTGACTCTGAGAACTTAATCTTTTTTTTTTTGGCTGTGCCGCACAGCTTGCGGGATCTTAGTTCCCTGACCAGGGATTGAACCTGGGCAGTGGCAGTGAGAGCACTGAGTCCTAACCACTAGATCGCCAGGGAAGTCCCAGACCTTCATCTTTTAAATAGTGACAATGGTACCCACTTTGCAAGACTTTTGAGAGGAGGAAAAAAAAGAAGATAAATGTCAACATTTAAAACAGTTGCATACTTTGCATCTGCCGCAATAACTGCTTTCTGGTAAGGATGAAAGCTTTGCAAACCATGCCTTTATGTATCCTCAGTGTCGTGGGCAATTTTCACTGGATATTATTTAACCTTGAGCCGCTGCTAGGTTAACTGCCTACCAGCTCTACTTCAGAAAACAGCGCGAACTTATAGGCTGCATTCAGTAACTTCCATTGTTCTGCAGTCAAGGGAGAGGAACGATAAAGGATGGAGTGAGGTCCTGGAGGAATTAGAGAAAGTAGGTTTTCCAAAAATGAGTAGAGGGGTGAGCCTTGGAGAGGAAAGGGACATTTGTACCTATGAACTAGCAGGTAACTTACTCAAGGTGGGAAATCAGTTTGGTATTCTGAACAACCATTTTGGGGACTGGGGAGAAAAGCTGGTGACTTATCAAAATATTTTAAATATCATTGATCATCCAGCCAAGGCTGGATGGAGTTCATCAGAAGGGTTTTTTTTTCCTTTAATTTTTGGAAGATTGCCAGTGTTTGAAGAATGCCTGGCAGAAGTACATTGCAGAGGGCAGGGCTGGAGGAGAGAGAGTGAAAGAACCGAACCAAAAAAAATGGCCAAGAGGCTGTTATAGAGCCACAGGCAGGATGGCTTGGAGGGCACAGCGTCTTGGGAATGGAAAGGAAGATAGCGAAGAACAGCTATTCTGAAGGGTAAATTGCTGTTACCCTGAGAAAGCATGACGTTGAAGCTTCCACTAAAACATATATACTAATAAGAAGGAACACGTTATGAAAACAGGTCTCAAATGAGATGAATATCAGAGTCCGTGTCCTGTTTCTTCCTCCTTTCAACAATAATAATAGTCAAAATAATCTGACATTTTCTTCCTTCCAGTAGAAGTCATATCCAAACACATGGCTTCCTTTTTTATTTTTCACAGTCCAGCTACCATCACGAAGGGTCTTTGTTAGGGGTCGGCCCCAGCCAGGCACTGTTCTAAATGTTTACACAGTTACACTACAATCCCAGGTCACAGCTGTTATTTATTCTCATTTTACATCTGGAGAAACTGAGGCACAGAGTGGTTTAGTGACTTTCCCAGTAACACCCTACTGGTAAGTAGTAACGTTGGAATCTGCAGCCGGGCCACCTGGATGCGGAGGTGGCAGGGCTAACATTACACCATCCCGCCTCTCCATTCAAAGAGAAGAAATTGAAATAAGAATTCCTTTTCACTGATTTGGCTTCTTTGCTACCGAATCAGACAGTCAGCCAACTGTGACAGTAAAAGAACCTCTTATGTGGTTGCAGGAAGCCCTGAAACAGACGCAGACCCTCGCTGCAGCAGATACACCCTCACGGCCAATGGCACTCAGTGTCCGAGCAGATTGTCTGGAACGACAGTGATCTACACGTGTGAGTTCATCAGCGCCCACGGAGCCAGAGGCAGTAAAGACATAAAAGTGACATTCAACTCTGTGGGTAAGGACTCTTTCACTAGAACTTTTTGCCTTGCACTTCAAACTAAGGGCTGCCAATCACCTGGGAATATCCGTGAGCAGGGCCTTCCATGGTAGTGAGAGTGTGACTGGGGTCAACCACAGAATGGGATTTCCATCTCTGCCATTTACATTCTTACGAAGTCTTTAAAAGCAGGAAGGGTAGGGGTAAGAAACAGCGGTTGCAGGGAAGGAACAGCCTGCATTGTACTAGAAAGACAGAAAGTGGATGGGAAGTAGGGTTTCACACTCAGATTAGTCACTGAATGAGGATAACACCGCTAATTTCCCACTTTTTCCTCCCATAATCCCATTCGGCCCCCCTTGAATTCCAATAGCCTGGCTCACTCCCCACCATCCTCCACCCCCTCTTTCTCTCCCATTTCGTCTTTTCCAGAGAGAATGCTGCAGGAAGATTTAAGAGTCTGGTATTTTGTGATTATTTTACGGTTGTTACAAATGGGTTTTAAAAAATATTTTAAGTAATTCTAGGCCTCTTAAAAGTATCATTTCTTCTGCTCATATCATAAAGCATTATAGCTTCATCCCTATCTGCTAAAGTGGGGCAGACAAACGTGTTTTTCTACCCACCCATCATACAAATACTAACTATTATATTTAGATAAATCCTCAGTTCCCCTTTCTGAACAATTTGGAGAAAGGACTGAGATAAACATACTTGTTACTCTTGTTTCCATTTTCTACTATCCTGACTTAGCACTTTTACAAAGATCAAGATTAGATTTATCTGAAACATTATTACTATAGAAAAGTTCAGGGTCTTTTGAGGTATTTGCGGTTTTCTAGAATGAGAGCAGTTATACTCTGCAAGTTTTAACTCAGAGAGTTGTGTTGATTCTGTGGGCTTTTGGCTATCTCAGGGACATGCTTAGTCTTCGCTGAAAACCACCGGTCTGGTAGTTTGATTCTCATCTGGAATCAAGAGAACCAGATTGAGGCTTCCATGCGCCTTTTCCTTTCCACCCTCAGAAACAACTCAGCCTTAGAAAACCATCTCAAGATCCTTATAGCCAGGGAGGGCAACATGAAGGGCATATGAATCCCTTCTCTGTGACTTTGGGGCTGCATCTGAACATTTGAATCCCAACTTCTGGTGGGTACTATGGAAAGCCCTGATTTCTTTTGTTTATGGCTAAGAATAAGATTTCACACTGATTGGAAAAGCTGGCCAGCATCTGTGGGCTCAAGGTGTGACATTGTCCACGTAGAGAAGGCAGAGTGAATGGCATTTTGAAATGACAGCTATGCTCAAAGAGGAGTAGAAAGAGAACCAGAGGTAAAACCAGTAGAATGTTCATAGAAGCTTTTATTTATAAGGGTCTGGTTAACAGTTTCAGTGACTAGTTCCTCATGAACTTACAAGAAAATTCTCAGAAATAGGAGTAAATAGGGACATAAATTAGGGTGCCTGTACTTCCCAGCCCAGGTATAATTATTTGGGCAGTAAGCACTGTGATCCCTGTACTTAACATGTAATTCCAAAAACCACTCGTCTGCTTGGAAAGCACTGGCTGGGTACTGGACCCAATGCTAATGCTGGGGATGTGAAGATGCAGATGAGAGGGTCCTACTCTTAAGGGGCTCACATGTTTATGGAGAAGAGATACAGAAGAAAGAAATGAAAATACAGCATGGTATTTTTTGAAGTTATTTTAAAAGAGTAGAGAATGGTGTGGTTATAAGAACTGAGCCATTGAGTCCCCCTTGAGGTGCCTGGAAAAGGTTGGAGGGGAGTTTGGGTTAAGTCGACACCGTAGTTTACAACCTTTTGCCCTGCTGATCATTAGGAGATAATTCCAGCCACAAAGGGGAAGTGCACGAGTTCCCAAGGCATGTGATGGAAATGGGTACAGTTCAGAGCACCACCGAGAACAGCCTAGAAACAAGTAAAGCTCCGGAGCAGCAAGGTACCAATCCCACGTTGACCCTAGTAGAGTCAGGACAGCCCATGCTTTCTGTCTCTGTGTGAAATTTCACTCAGGTGTTGATGTCACCAGAAAGACTAAACATTTTACTTGTTATTGGTTTTCTTTTGTCTGTTTTGTTTGCATTCTTTTAGCCAACCTAAAAATAACCCCGGACCCAATTTCTGTTTCTGAGGGACAAAGCTTTTCTATAAAGTGCATCAGTGATATGAGTAACTATGATGAGGTGTATTGGAACACTTCTGCTGGAATTAAAATATACAAAAGGTTTTATACCACGAGGAGGTATCCTAATGGAGCAGAGTCGGTGCTGACAGTCAAGACCTCGACCAGGGAGTGGAACGGTGAGTGAAAGCCCAGATACACTGGACCCTGATACCTGGACCCCTGGAAACACACTGTAATCATTACCATCCCTGGAGGGCCTGCCCTGGGCCATGCCCGTGCCAGCCACTCTATATGACATATGTGCTCACACTAAGTGCAGCAGCCTTCCGGGGGAAGATGTCACTATTCCCATTTTACAGATGTGCAAAGTGAGCCTAGGTTTCCACAATTTAAGCTGTAGAGCCAGGATTAGAACTAGTCTCTTTGATTCTAGAGTCTTTGCTTTGCCATTAAGTTAAGAGGATTTTTTTTTTATTGAAGCATAGTTAATTTACAATGTGTTAGTTTCAGGTGTACAACAAAGTGATTCAGTTTTATACACACACACACACACACACACACACACATATATACACTTTTTTAGATTCTTTTCCATTATACATTATTACAAGATATTGAGTATAGTACCCGTGCTATACAGTAGGTCCTTGCTGTTCATCTATTTTATATACAATAAGTCCCCTACACATGACCGAGTTCCGTTCCGAGAGTGCGTTCGTAAGTCCAATTTGTTCATAAGTCCAACAAAGTTAAGCGTAGGTACCCAACTAACACAATCAGTTATATAGTACGGTACTGTAATAGGTTTATAATACTTTTCACACAAAAAATACATAAAAAACACAAAAAATAAAACATTTTTAATCTTACAGTACATTACCTTGAAAAGTACAGTAGTACAGTACAACAGCTGGCATACAGGGGCAAGTTCGCATCTTTGAAAGTTCACAGCTTAAATGTTCATATGTAGGGGACTTACCGTATTAGTGATTTGTATATGTTAATTCCAGACTCTTAGGAGGATTGTTTTTTTAAAGTATTTTTACCAGACTCTTGTGTTTCACCCAACTGAGGTATAAAAATTCTGCCTAAAGATTTTATATGCCTAGTTCCAAAGGGGGGAAAAACACGTTTTTGTTTTCTACTTATCCCTAGACATTGTTTAGGTTGGGAGGAAATGCAAATTTTTGAAAGAAAAGGGCATTTGATAGAATTGCTTCAATAATAGCTGACATTTCTTGAGCTGTTGCTATGTGATAGGTATTGTTTTACGTATTTAAGTGTATGAATTAATTTCAAACAATAAACCTAGAGGAGAGTGCTATTATTTATTTATTTTTTTGTAAACAGTCATTTATTTGGATTCATAGTTTTACAAAGGGAATTCTTTCCCACCTTGTAGTAGCAGAATGATATAGTCCCATTTAGATTGTTATATAGGTCAGCCTTTTTTAGGGAGATGTTTAAACATATAGTATATAACTTTAAAATGTCGTAAAGTTACCACAAAAATAAAAGAACAAAACTACCTAATCATTCTACCTCTCTCTCCATCCTCCCTGCCCCTGTACACCTGGGTCTGGGAGATTTGCCTTATCACTCAAAAAAGTGTCAAGAGTAATGGTCACAGCTTAGGTCGCATGGGTAAGATTACAGCCAGAGATGAAAAGACCACACATCCATAAGAAGCAGTATCCCAGTCAGGCATCTGAAAGGGCAGAGAGGTGGCTCTGTGCAGGCTGAGTAGCAGGCTCTTCAGTGGGGAGATGAGCACCTGCCCTGCCTCCTCCGTGTTCACCATAGACTCATGCAGGGAATATAGCAGCCGCCTGCTCCTCAGGGAGGGGCACGATGCCAATCACACTGTCTCAACAAGCGGCACCACCTGCTTTATTTACACAGAGGAGATGCTCGATCGTAACAGCATCATCCCATGCCTCCCTCCCACCCAAGATCATTCTCCTGAATGACCTTCTACAACAGAGGTCTTACATTCCCCCACTCCAGTATACTCACCTCCTGAAGATACTTTGTTATATGTCATTTCAAGATACTTCTAGAACCAAACCCTCACAAAGACATTTAGACTTGGTGCCTGATAACTTGATTACCTTCAGAGTCCTGGGTAAAGAGCAAATCAGGCTGCAGATTTAACTGAGTGGTCCTATCCTGGCGCTGAGCCCAAGGGCTGTTAAGAAGCTGTCCTAAGCCCTGATTCCGGTCATTGATTACATCTCGGAAAGGAACTCTAGAGTTGTGGGCAGTGACCCACTGGCCCTGAGAATCCTCGGTGCAAAGCTGACTCCAGGAGTCCTTGTCATTCTTTTCGCTGTCCCAGGAAAACACAGGAATAGGACAAGGGCTTTGCTTCACTGCTTCTTTGTTTGCTGCACTCCAGGAATCGAGAGTGCTATTATTATCTCCATTTCACAGATGAGGAAACTGAGGCCCGGTGAGGTTAAGGAAACTACCTGAGGTTATACATCTAGTAGACAGTAAAGTCAAAGGGAAACAGAGACTGTGTTGCTACAGAGGCCAACTCTTAACTCCTCTATTCTAAAGCGTTTCATTCATTATAAGCTTAATCAGTCCAGATCCTGTGAGTTCTTCACTTTTTCATATAAGGCCTAGGCAATATTGTAGAAATAACTACTTATTATCTGGCTGGACTTGGTAGATACAATCGGGAAATGGGAGTCTTTTTCTCCTGTGCTGAACTCACACAGGAGAGTTGCTCTGCCCAACTGCCCTTTCCTACTATCAGGCAATAACTTAGGAAGAGCTGTGGCTGTTCTGGTCACACTGAACTATTAAACAGTCTCAGGTGCTAAAAATCATCTATTCTCATCTAAATCGACTACACTTTTATTTTATATTCAATGTAAATGTCCCCTCCCTCCCAATGGGAATCAAAAAGCGTTTCCTCTCTGTTCTCGTTCTACGTGTTTCCCCTCTGGCTAGCGGCTACTCTGGCTCCTCCAGAGTCGGGGCAAAGAGAAGGAATGTCAGGAACATTGAAAGGTCCTGCTTAACTGTAGATGCTGTTATCATCTTCCACTGTCCCGACAACAGCTGATCCAATGGCGGTTCATCCTCTGATGGGCTCTGGTGTGAAGTCCCGTAGGAAAAGTTCCTTTCATGAAGCTCAACCCAAGCCCTGTCCACAGTCCTCTCTGCTTCACCGAGCACTGGGCGTGCAGGCAACTCCTGCTGCAGCCTTCTCTTTTCACTCCTGCAAAGTCGGCCCGCTCTCCTCTTTAGACTTTTCTAGATAAGAGTCAGACATCTAATCTCAGAGTCCACAGACCAAGCTCTCCCAAGAACTCACAGTCAACCTCTCTCCCTCCCTCCCCACTCCCTCCCCACATTCCTTAGTGGTGCCCTGAGGTCCCAGACCAGAGGCACCTACTCCCTTAAAGATGGGGAAAGGGGGCCTCGCAGGACCGCAGTGCTCTAGTTCCCTCTCACTGGCAACTTTCTTCAAAGAACTCCCCAGCCCAGCACACCCCAAAATTCGCATTCCGCCCCCGCTGCAACCCCGACTAAAGAAAGAGCCTTGGAGTAGGTTTTGTGAACTAGATTTGAAACTCAGTTCCACCCCCAACAGGCTATATGACTCTGGATACGCCACTTGATTTTATTCGGAAGTAAGTGAATATTTAGGTGGCGATGAGCTAGTCCTTCAAATGCATAGCGAACCCAGGAGGGGAACCTGTGGAGCATTTCCTAGTCCAGGGCCCAGGAGCGGGTACTGTGCCTGTGCCCCAGCTTGACAAGGAAAACCAAGCCTCTTCTCAACTTTCTCAGCAAATGTCTATTTGGAGCGATGACTTCGTTCCACCTCATCTTGGCTTCTTTCCACTCAGGAACCTATCACTGCATATTTCGATACAAGAATTCATACAGCGTCATGGCCAAAGATGTCACCGTCCACCCGCTGCCCCTACAGCCCAATATCATGGTTGATCCTTTGGAAGCTGCCATTCCATGCACAAGCTCCCGTCACATCAAGTGCTGCATTGAGGAGGACAGAGACTACAAGGTCATTTTCCAAGCTGGTTCCTCGTCCTTTCCGGCTGGTAAGATGCCCACTGCTGAATTGTAAGGACACATGATTCCATATATGTCGAGTCTCAAACTTTACTCTTAAAATAGGGGTAAGGAGACAGAGAGGGATTGCTTCAGGGACATAATGTAACAGAGGGAAGCCCATGAGGCTTTATTGCCTTCTATTTTGCTATGTGACCAGTGGCTCATTGGTTTGTGACAAAATCTTGAGAGTCTGTGAGGGTGGAGCCCACTGTTTATAGTGACAGCTGTTGAAGATAGTATTGAGTTACCGTCACAAGCCTTCTACGTGCTCAGTAGACTCGATATTCTGATCACCCCTCCCTCTATGCTATGAATCAGCATGCAATAAAAGTATGGCAGGGGCCTCCCTGGTGGCGCAGTGGTTGAGAGTCCGCCTGCCGATGCAGGGGACACGGGTTCGTGCCCCGGTCCGGGAAGATCCCACATGCTGCAGAGCGGCTGGGCCCGTGAGCCATGGCCGCTGAGCCTGCGTGTCCGGAGCCTGTGCTCCGCAACGGGAGAGGCCACAACAGTGAGGCCCGCGTACAGCAAAAAAAAAAGTATGCCCAAAACCCTTTTAAATGCACAGTTGAGCAGGCAAGAGAGTAAGAGAAATAACCAAGGGTCAAAAACATAGAAGAAAACAAAAATAGAGGTAATGCTTTAGCTAATGCTGGAGTTTCCCTGAGGGCATCTGCCAATATCAGAAACCTCAGAATCTTTTTTTTTTTTTTAGTTTATTTATTTATTATTTTTGACTGTGTTGGGTCTTTGTTTCTGTGCGAGGGCTTTCTCTAGTTGCGGCGAGCGGGGGCCACTCTTCATCGCGTTGCGCGGGCCTCTCACTATCGCGGCCTCTCTTGTGGAGCACAGGCTCCAGACGCGCAGGCTCAGTAGTTGTGGCTCACGGGCCTAGCTGCTCTGCGGCATGTGGGATCTTCCCAGACTAGGGTTCGAACCCATGTCCCCTGCATTGGCAGGCAGATTCTCAACCACTGGGCCACCAGGGAAGCCCAGAAACCCCAGAATCTTGAATTTGAATTTGAAGGCTCTGAAGTGTATGAAAGAAAAGGCCTTGTTCCCAATGCAGTAACTAAGGCAACCTACCCCATCAACACAATGTCAGGACCCTCAGACAATGACACGCTCAGTAAAAGAAGAAGCTAGAAAAACAAAATTCATCTGACAGAGTTCAGAGCCTCAGCGCTGGGTGGGCAAGAATTTCCCCTGAGAAGTATAACTGTCCTGCCTACATTCAGATTTGGGGCTTGAATTTATACAACCTATTTGGTCCAATAACTCCAAGCTGAGGAGTAATTAACTTAAAGTAGTCCGTTGGTAGCACTCAGTGGTACCTGGCCAAAAAATTTAAATCCTCTCTGGTAGAATGTACCCTCCATTCAGATCCCTCAGGATTCCTGTAGATTAAGGTCAGCCAAATATGAACTCACAACCACAAATCGTAATGCATGGACACCTTCACGAGGGATTTTTAAGCTCATTCATACTTTCAAGAACTGTTCTTTGGGACCTATGCTTAATACAAAATATAACAGTAGGCAATGAAAAGGAGACAAAAGAAGTGGGGCATATATATCGATACCTAGAAGGGCATATGTCGTAAAAGAAAATACATAGAGCATTAACTATACAAAATGAGCACTACAGATAGAAAGAACAATGGAAGTTCAGAAAAATGGGGATCCCATAGAGACCGGACAATTTAGAGACTGCATGGTAGGGGGATATGAAATCAATCTGGGTACCAACCTATTTAAGCGTTTTAACATTCTGTGTTCAACACGCGTGCATTCACTGCTACTTCTAGGCTAGAGGCATTTTGAAAACCACATTAAAGTGAATGTGGCACATTCTTGGGAAAAGTTTGGACAAGTTTATCCACATTGGATGATTTTAACAAAATTTGTGCTTTGAATACTAATGCTGTGACTTCATTCTTTCATTGTACCTTAGCAAAAGAAGTTAACGGAAAGCAAGTGTGCTACAAACACCATTTCGTGGCAAACTCAATTTCCTGTCCAGAAAATATGGATGTGTTTTGTCACATTACCAATACCGCTAATAATTCAGTGCGGAGCCCATCCATGAAGCTTAATCTGGTTCCTGGTGAGAACACCTTAAATTATTTTAAAATTTTATAGTCATGAGCAGGGATTCCTGTATTCATTCACTCCCTCATTCATCCATCAATAAATCCATGTTAATCACGTTCATGTAGCAAGCCTTGAGCTAAGCATGGGGCTTTGAAAAGAAATAAGCTGTGTTTCTTGGCCTCAAGCCTAGAGGAGAGATAAATGCGATTTAAAAATGTTATCACATATAATGTGGTAGATTCTAAACTAGAGGCAGTTGTGGGTGGTTAGAAGGGGCTGCCTGGTTTAACTCTGCTAGTGATTAGGTGGGGAGAAATTGATCAAGAAAGCCTTGCAGATGAAGCCGTATTTCCGTACGTAAAAAGAATCAGAAACTACGTAAAAAGGGCTACGTAAAAAGAATCAGAAACTGTCTTTCCCATCCTTTGTCATCACTGAGCCAATATCCCCCTAAATACTATTGTCAAGGTAAAAGGTCGTGATTTGTGGAGCCATCTCTGTAATAACCAATACCGAAGAGCTCTCCTCAGTAGCAACTGAGGGGCAAGTGGATAAAGGATACTCCTGGGCTTGCATCATAAGCAATCCCCTCCCCGCAGAAATCTTCTCTCTAATAGAACCCGCGACGTCTGTAGGATCCATGGCTCCATTACCAAGCTTGTTTGAGTTTACTGAGGGATTTGAGGTCCTTCTCAACATCTGTTGGTATCTGAGCCCTAGACAACAAAGTAGGAAGCCACTTAGAGCTCCCTGTCTCTCTGAGTCACCGTGCTCTGGACCCCACCAAGCACACCTCTTCCAGGGGGCAGCCAAGGTCATTTCTCCACTGTCCCTCCATCTTAGCCTAGACATCATCATGTTTTATTCACTTACCTTTGTTCTGCTCTTCTTTCTTCATACCAAGTCTGATTCCTCTTCTTTTTCCTAATAGACATTACTTAGGTATTCTAAGATTTTACACAATGGCTAAGAACTCAATTCATGCTAAGTTTAAAAGATGATGAGAGCGGGGGTCTGCTCATCAGAGAGTCAGGGTCCCTTGGAGACTAGAGATTCTGCAATAAATGACATTTTCCCATTCAAGTCTGTCTTGAGTCGAGGTAAAGAAAAGTCATCCTTACGGGAAACCAGAAGGAATAAATGCTTAGGAATGTTGCCCAGAATATTCAGGTCATGGGTGCCTGGGATTTCTGCTACTAATTATATCCTTGGATTAAGGTGGTGCTTCTCAAACTTGCCTGCACCCTAGAATCACCGGGGAAGCTTAAAAAACTGCTGATGCCTGAATTCCAGCCCAAGGGGTTTTGATCTTCTTGGGCTGGAGTGAGCCTGGACATTGGTATTTTCCAAGCTCCTCTGAAGATTCTAATACACCAGAGCTGAGAACCCCTTGGATTAAGTCATTATGTCCCTAAGACCCTTGTTAACCTGCCTGTCTTTCATCTGGATGAGTACACGTCAAGCTCTCATTATTTTCCATGGCTTAGGTTTTACAGGCATTAGAGGGAAGATTCCTGGTGGTCAGAGGTGGGAATGAGGCACTGAGGAAATAAATTCTGTTAGAAAAAGCCAGCGCAGATTAGAATCGGATTTGCATGGAAAGCCCTAAGGGGCTTTAGAAAATCAGGGGCAAAATAAAGAAAGTGGGCAACTCCGAAAAGGTCACTGAAAGGAAAAAAGAAGATGAGTTCAAAGATCAAAGCTCTACCTAAGCCTGACCCTATTTCCACTATCTTTTCTCCTCTCTTCAATTGTCCTTTTTATGTCCATTTTTCCAATGCAGGGGAGAACGTCACATGCCAAGATCCTATCATAGGTGTTGGGGAACCCGGAAAAGTCATCCAGAAGCTTTGCCAGTTCTCTAATGTTCCCAGAATCCCTGGGAGTCCCATTGGCGGGATCATAACTTACAGATGTGTGGGCTCCCAGTGGAAGGTTAAGAAAAACAACTGCATCTCTGCCCCCATAAATACTCTGCTCCAGCTGGCTGAGGTGATTCTTTTTTTTTTTTTTTTTAGAAGATGTTGGGGTAGGAGTTTATTAATTTATTTTATTTATTTTTGCTGTGTTGGGTCTTCGTTTCTGTGCGAGGGCTTTCTCTAGTTGCGGCAAGTGGGGGCCACTCTTCATCGCAGTGCGCGGGCCTCTCACTGTTACGGCCTCTCTCGTTGCGGAGCACAGGCTCCAGATGCGCAGGCTCAGCAGCCGTGGCTCACGGGCCCAGCCGCTCCGCGGCATGTGGGATCCTCCCAGACCAGGGCTCGAACCCGTGTCCCCTGCATTAGCAGGCAGACTCTCAACCACTGCGCCACCAGGGAAGCCCCCTGAGGTGATTCTTAAACACTTGACTCTGAACTCTTGGTGGGGAGGTGTGTCTAGCTGATCCTATTTCTCAGCACTTAGGAAAACGGGCTTTGAGCTGCTTGGTGTTGCTCTCAAAGCTATACCTATTTAATTCCAAAGAAGATGCAACCCTAGAAATGCTGAATATTTTGCTTGAATCCAAATATGGAGGCAGCGAAATACGTGTTCTGCCCTAGGACCAGCTGTACAGCGTCACCTTGACTTCTTAATACCTTGTTTCCATTACCTCCAAGATGGAAGTCGTGTTATCCCCTCTAACTGCTCTCCTTTGAAGAATTTTTATATCAAGCTAATAGCGCTAATCTTTTCAGAAAGGGGAGCAACACCAAAAGTAAGGTTCATCAGTCAAAAAAATAGTTGGGCTTTACGCTTTTACAAGTCTGAGATTTCCTTAATCCTTAGAGGTAGCCTATAGTTATAGAAGGGCCTAGCTGACCTCTCTTACCTAGAATAGAGGTTACTGCCATGTGGTAGGAAAAACATGTTTCACTTCATCAAAATAAATATAAATTACCTCTCATACTTAGGTTGCTGAAAGTTCGAGACGCCTAAAATTCCATGAGTTACAATAAATGAGGCAATTAGTGGGGTTATAGCTCATGGTAACATCTTCAGACCGTGAGCTATATTTGGAGCTAACATCTGGTTAGCTCCAAATCCTTGCATCCCGGGAAGAAGGACTGAGAAAAAAGGGTGATATTGGTTTGCATTTTATCTAATTATCTCTTGTCTCACATCAAATTCCTTAAAATACCGACTATGTATAAAGCGTTATTATAGGTGCTATCAGGGTAAAGAGGCCAAATTAAAACTTGACCTCTGATTGGATATGGAATATAGATGTTATATATGTATTAATTGGGGCTAGGATAATCAGGAAGTTCTGCTTGAAAAACGTGGCATCTGAGTTAGACCTTGATGGGTAAAGCATCGGGAATATAAACTATCCCAATTGAGGAAGATAGAAATTATAATTTGAACTCAACATTGGGCCCTGGTCCCAATTCTAGATACTACATACCCCTTCAATGGAAAGGGGGCATGCTGACCTATCATGCTCCGTCTAATTTATCCATTCAACGTATGGTATTGAATACCTACTACATACGAAGTTAAGTGACTATGTTAGGGATTATGGGATATGAGAAGATGCAAAGAAATGCAACACATGGTTCCCATTGTTGAGGAGCTTATCATTTAATGGGAGAGAGATTGAAATTAAAACACAGGATGACATTGGTAGAGATGTCACAAATGTAAATTCCGTTAAGTAAAACAAATACTTCTGCATTCAGAGGAAGAAACTCCCCTGGGTTAGAACACTCATCAAAGTTCTTTATGGAGAAGACCAACTTTTAATTCATTCTTTAATTATAGTGAGGAGTCAGATAGTTAGAAAACACAAATGTGATCATTATAGATAAGGTGACCATATAATTTATCATCCAAACCAGGATACTTTTTACTTTTTGGTTTTTTTGTTTGTGTGTGTGTGTTTGTTTTATTGAAGTAGAGTTAATTTACAATGTTGCGTTAGGGAAAAGAATCTAAAAAAGAATATTTCAGATTCTTTTCCCTTACAGGTTATTACAAAATATTGAGTATAGTTCCCTGTGCTATACAGTAGGTCCTTGTTGGTCCTAATTTTCCCTCCCCGCCTTTCCCCTTTGGTAACCTTAAGTTTGATTTCTATGTATATGGGTCTATTTCTGTTTTGTATATACGTTCATTTGTATCATTTTTGAAAATAAAAGAGGACACTATTTATAATTACACTGGGACATCAGATGTAAACCAGAACTGTCCCAGGAAATTTGGGATAGAAACCTCAGAGTGGCAAATGTGCTTTCATAGAGACAATCAAGTGACAATTTCATGCAACTTTAATCTAGTTCTCTAGCAGTCATATCTACTTCCCTTCCTTTTTCTTTTCAACTAGTCATCAGGTTGACATATGCTCTACTGTTCCCCTTCTATGTGTGAGGTCTCGTGTAATATTCTATTCTGAAGAGCAAGCACAGTTTAAGAGATAAGTACATTACCTTATGGGATATACTTATGAGAACGGAGGAATCAAAAAGGAAACTCAGATGTGAGAGATTTTTGTCACGGATGTATCAGCAGTATTTGATGACTGATGGGCAAGTTTTTTGTTTTTTTTCTGTGTCGGCTTTTGTTTTACTAGGCTTTGATGAAGAGCCCCTCTCAGGATGAGAAGCTCCCTTCATACCTAAAGAATCTTTCCATTAGCACAAACCAGGTGAAACTTGAAGTCAAGTCATTTCCTGGGAGCCTGGGAGCCATTATTAACATCATTGATTTGCTCTCGACAGTTCCAACCCAAGTGAATTCAGAAATGATGATGGTGAGTTTGCTTAAGCCTTGCAGGAGTTTGGGGTCTTGTCTTTTCATCCCTCAGGACTTGGGGTCAAGAAACATAACTTCTTTCTATTGCAACTTCTCTGTCTTTTCCCGAACAACGCTTTGCCAGCTCTGGCTTTTAGCATATCAGTGAATATTTTCAGTGTACATTTTGGGATCTTAAGATTTCTCTAGAGAAGGTCTGTTTTAGTTTCTTCATTAAAAGAGAATGAATTCTTACCTGCTCTCTAAGAAAACTAGGAGTGAAAGGTTTTCAGAATATGTACAAGGTGGGATTCTCAATGGTCTCTCACAAAACATGATCTTTGAAGCAATCCGCATTCTGAGAGGAAAGAGAATTCACCCACCAGAATTCACATGAAGAGACTTTAATGAAGGGATACTTACAGAGGTAAAACCAGGAATTAAAAAAAAAAAAAAAAAAAGGTGTAACGCACCCAGAGACCAGCTACATTTAGAAGCCCTTACTACCCTGAAGATTAAGGTGGAAAGGAGAGGAAATAGTGCACCCATAGCGTTGGAGGAGGGATCACTGAGCAGGAACTACAGTATTGGAAGTATGTAACCATCACCAAAGGTGTGCTGAGAGTGAAATGAAGGTGCAGCGGGTAGCAGGAAAAATATATCTCAGCTTCTTTCTTCTCTCATCCTCTCATCTCCCGCCGCTGCTTCTCATTGGCCAAACCCAACCGGAGGTAACTGGCAAGCAGCTTGGGTACCAGGAGTCTAAGGAGCTTATACAGATTTCCTAGGGCTGCTGTAACAAATTGCTTCATTCCAACCTCTGGCTTTGTCTTCACATGACCTTCTCTTCTTCTCCACGTACCTTCTCCTCTTCTGTCTCTTATAAGGATACTTGGATTTAGGGCCCATTTAGGTAATCCAGGTTGATTTTCCTCTCAAGATCCTTAATTACATCTACAAAGATGCTTTCTCCAAATGAGGTTTTCTCCAAATAAGGGCCACCATTCAACTAACTGCAGGGCTCATCATTTCAGAGAACAGAACAAGGCAAAGAAGGGCAGAGAGAAAAAGCCACTTCTCTCCATGGAGAGAAGCCACAAATGACAATTCCAGGTTTATGGGAGAGAGAATCAAAATGTTGAGCTAAAAAGAAAGATGCCTTTAACAACACTCCCATGGCGTGTTTGATGCTTAGCATTTGAGAGGGTCTTCTGAGACTACCTCACCCTTGCTGGTGAGATACCACCCACCCAAAAGCCTTTACAGGCTTGAGATTTAAAATAAAATAAAACAATAAATAAATATCTCTGTCAGCCCGCTGAGTCGACCTTAGTGAGAGGTGGGGGCAGTTCTCACCGTCACGACTTCTAAATGTTTAGTGAGTCTCGCAGTTGTGAGGGCCCATCCCCTGCTAATTCCCTCCATAAGAAGGTGGATCAGAGTCCTCCACAGCCTGGGATGCTGCATTTTTCTCTTCTATTTTCTTCTTCCCTGTACGCACTTAATGAGTTTCCAGGGAGATGTTCTCTTCTTCTCTCTTACGATTGAAAACATTCGGTTGGTTTGATCCCATGTCTTGTCAATTACAGCACGTCCTCTCCACGGTCAACGTCATCCTCGGCAAACCCATTTTGAATACCTGGATGATGTCACAACAGCAAAAGACCAATCAGAGCTCACAGTTACTGGATTCATTGGAAAGATTTTCCCGAGCCTTGCGGTCAGAAGATAGCACCATCTCCCAACCTAATGTTCAGATGAAGAGCATGGTCATAAAATCTGGCCACCCCAAATCCTACACACAGAGCTTTGTTTTCTCAGACTCTGAGCTCTGGGGCAATGTGACCATTAATGAATGCCAGCTGGAACACCTGCAACCAGATTCATTTATCGTCACCGTGGCTTTCCCAACTCTCAAGACCATCCTCGCCCAGGATGTCCCAGGAAAGACTTTCGCAAACAGCCTAGTGATGACAACCACTGTCAGCCACAATCTAACCGCGCCGTCGCCATTCAGGATTTCGATGACCTTCAAAAACAACAACCCTTCGGGCGGGGTACCGAGGTGTGTCTTCTGGAACTTCAACCTCGCCAACCACACAGGGGGGTGGGACAGCAGCGGGTGTTATGTTAAAGAAGTCACCGAGGACAGTGTGTCCTGCAGCTGTGACCACCTCACATCCTTCTCCATCCTCATGTCCCCTGATTCCCCGGACCCTGATTCTCTCCTGAAGATCCTGCTGGATATCATTTCCTACATCGGGCTGTGCTTTTCCATCTTGAGCTTGGCGGCCTGCCTCGCTGTGGAAGCCATGGTGTGGAAATCGGTCACCAAGAACCGGACTTCCTCCATGCGCCACATCTGCATCGTGAACATCGCGGCCTCCCTTCTGGTCGCCGACGTCTGGTTCATCGTGGCCGCCGCCGTCCACAACTACCGCTACCCGCTCAACCAGACGGCCTGTGTGGCTGCCACCTTCTTCGTCCACTTCTCCTACCTCAGCGTCTTCTTCTGGATGCTGACTCTGGGCCTCATGCTCTTCTACCGGTTGGTTTTCATCCTGCATGACACGAGCAAGTCCATTCAGAAGGCCATTGCGTTTTCTCTTGGCTACGGTTGCCCTCTGGTCATCTCCGTCATCACGGTGGGGGCCACCCAGCCCCGGGAGGTCTACACGAGGAAAAATGCCTGTTGGCTCAACTGGGAGGACACCAAGGCCCTGCTGGCCTTCGTTATCCCAGCACTGATCATTGTGGTGGTCAACGTGACCATCACGGTCGTGGTCATCACCAAGATCCTGAGACCTTCCATCGGGGACAAGCCGAGCAGGCAGGAGAAAAGCAGCCTGTTCCAGATCACCAAGAGCCTTGGGGTCCTCACACCGCTCTTGGGGCTCACCTGGGGTTTCGGTCTCGCCACCGTGTTCCAGGGGAGCAATGCTGTCTTCCATATTGTATTTACCCTCCTCAATGCCTTCCAGGTACGTTCTGCAGGGCAGCGCTCTCAGGAAGGATCTATAATGATAGAAACACAAACAGGGGTAGGAACGGGGAAGGACTTTTGTTCATAGGAGGCCCTAGCCCTAAAGAACGGTAATGACAAGAAGTCAGTGAAATAGAAAGGGCGCGTTCCTCTGCTCCCATGGAACCGCATGCCTCTTATCACCTGCATTATAATTTAGTTGCCTACGCACCTCTCTTCTAAGTGCCCTGATAATACAAATAGGAGGAAAGTCCCTTCCCTACACTGGATTTTGCTGTTTATCTAACATTATCTTGATGCCGTTTATTATCTCCTAAATGAAAATACCACCGTTAAACCAAACAATCTCTCCAGTTAATTTCCACTAGCATTAAACGAGCCCTGCCTTGGTGAGGTCAGGGGCAGCGTCTGTCTTATTTATCAGTACATTCCTAGTGCCTGCAAAGACCTTGGCACAGACTAGATGCTCAGTCATGAGCACCTTGGCAAATGCAATGAAGGCTCTGTACCACATAGTGGGTTCTCAGGCAACATTTTTCTGAAGGATGAAAGAATGAATGCTCTATGTAAGGTAGACATTTTGCTCCATTATGTGAAAATGAAAAAGACATTCTCTTTGCTCTCCAGCAGCACGTAACTATAATACAAGCCACGTTGTTAGGTGGGCTTTAGCAGAGGTACAGACAACAAGCCTTTGGAGCACAGGGAAGGGGATGCTTAATTCTGATTCAACCAGTGGTAGGCCTAGGTCCCCATGAGCTGGTGAGGATCCAGGGCATCTGGAGGTGATGCCGAGACGTTGCCCTAGATGCTAACGCCAACGCATGCTAACCATGCAAATTCCAACTTCTGCTACTGGGCCCATGGCTCCAAACTCTAAGGCTCATGTCTAATGATGTTTATAATATGCCTTGACTAGAAGGGACTGATTATTCCACCTTATGCCCTATGTTCTCATCACAACTACATGAGGGCTACTGTAGACATAAGAGGTATGTTTAATAACATAACCAGCAGGATCTCCAGCGCACAATTGGGTGGAAATAGGGAAATTGAAAATATCCTTATGACATTATAACATCAAAGGTCCCTTGGTGTGGACCTACTACATCACTGTCATCTACTGGACCATAAATGCAGATGTGGAAAGAGGTAGTACAAATTCTATGGCAGGTGAACCATACTTCCTAGTTTGCTAGACTAGAATATGATTAATATAATTAATATGATTAAAATGCACTTCTTCCCAATTCTTTTTTCAGGGATTATTCATTTTACTCTTTGGATGCCTTTGGGATCAGAAGGTAAGAACAGTGACAGTCATGATTCTAGAAAAGTCTAAATTGCAGTGACATGTTGAGTTGACAATGGCTTCTTTTAAATGATGCAGGTACAGGAAGCCTTGCTGAATAAGTTTTCACTGTCGAGATGGTCTTCACAGCACTCAAAGGTAAATACTTCCTTTGTAGAGACTTACACAAACTCCTCTCTCTCCACTACCAGTTATAACATAGATTATTCCACTGTGTTTTCTTCTTACCTGATTCTGCCTATTAAACATAGTCATGGAACAGAACTAGCATTAAGATGCTGTCCCCACATCTTTAAATAGAGGTTACAAATAGCACAGATAATATCAACTGGAGGTTAAAACCAAATTTCAATGAGAAGTACTCTTCTGGGGAAACTCAAGGCCATAAAGAACAAAATTTGAAGAAGAATGATGAATAGAATTTTCTGTAGTTCATCTTGGAAGATAACTATTGCACTTAAATATATTTGTTTTCCTATGTCAGAAGATAGTAAACCCTATCGAACAGTAAAAAATGTATTTGGAAGCTATTTCCCTCCTACCGGTGGTGATGTTACAGTGTTTCAAAAGGTGGCTCCCCTGCTTAGTTTGTCTGAAATAGAAATTCATGCTCATCCAGGCTCTCTCCTTAAAGTGAAATGAAAGATGCAGTCAGTGACCACCGGCAGGCAGCAAACGAATCATCCTACAGATCAAAACTGGGCCTTGGTCTAACACGTTTGCTGTGTAATTCTTTTTTTCTTTTCTAGTCCACATCCCTAGGTTCATCCACTCCAGTATTTTCTATGAGTTCTCCAATATCAAGAAGATTTAACAATTTGTTTGGTAAGACAGGTACGTGCTGACCTCTAGATGTTTCCTGGCTTGACCTAAACGTATTTGCCCTGGGGGGAATCTCACGCCCCTACTGTCCCACTGCCCACTTCATGGCATTGACCCATAATGGCCTTATTTGGGGCAGAGGTTAAGTACTTGCTTATATTTTCCCAAACACCCAAGGGGTTGGTACAGAGGGCAGTTGCCTTCAACCTGTGGAGAGCTCTCCATAAAAACTGTATCCACCGTAAAACTGGGAACTGTAAATTGCTGGCCTGGTCAAACACGGAGTTCTCTTCTATTCCTGTTATATAAGAATAGGTCGGTCATGTTTATGGGTTACAAGGCAGCGAAGAATATATTTAGAGAATCCTACCATAGGATCCCATGCTGTGAGTTTCATTTCCCTTTTTTTCCCTTTTCTTTTTTTGGAGTGTGCTTCTGTTACACATCGACATTTATAAAACTGTGCAAACATATGAGGGATCACCCAAGTTAGCTGTTCTGTTAGGGGCATGGCGCAGTGAACGTTTCCTCCTTGTAGACATAAGAAAAAGCATGTTAATGACTTTGGGCAGTGGGTTTCAGCTGTTCTGGCAAGCTGAAACTCCTGTCCCATGTCACCACCACCTCCTCCCCTTAGGAAAATAGGCACCAGACCAGCTCCTCAAAACTGAACAAATCTCACAAATGAAGACATGTATCAAATGTATCAAAAGCCTTCCTGACTAAAGCTTTTCATATAAAGCAAATTTTGAGGATGCCTATTAATTATTGAAACTCCAGAGAACCTGGTGTTTTGAGCTTCATTTTGATGCATGGCTCGTGAAACTGGAGGACCTTCACTTTTGATTGGACCTGTTGTGGAATGATCAAATCTCCAGGGTCTGTTAGAACTATTCCCTTTGGCCAGCACTGTCCCCGGATCATGTTTATCGTTTGCATTAAAGTAAGAACAGTGAAAACTCTGTGAAACGATTCCACAGAATCAGAATTATGCAATATGTAAGGTCAGTAAAATGCATTCATTGTTTCTGAGCCAGTCAGGTCAAGAGTTGGGGTCCTGTTCCCGAGGTCTCGGGGCCTGAGGGCCCCGGCCATTGCCACTTAGCCTTTCAGGGTCATTAATGCAGATCCAGGTTGGCCTATCTGAGGGGTCCATAATCACTGTAACTTTGGTTTGTGTTGTCAGCAGCGACAAAGGGCCCCCCAGGCAATGATGGAAACCTTGTTAGCCGTGGCAGTCCGCCCATCTGATGGTAGGGTGGGGCACTGTGTCGCTTCCCCTGCCCAACACACAGCCCGTACCGTCCCCGTGTTCAGTCCCCACCCCCCTGCTGACACGAGCCTGTGCAGTAGCTCGCGGGCCACCCGCCCTGCTACACTCATCCTCAGCGCTCTTGTTGGCATTCTCTGACTCCTGCTGCTTTTTCGGTCCTGCCTTTTCTTCTCCTGTAATTTTCTCTTTTCTTTCCTTTTCTCCCTTTGCCCAGCTCAGTCCCCAGGTCCCTCCCAAGAGCTTCCCATAGTCACACCAACCCAAAGGGACCAGGGATATTCCCTCCCACGGATGCCCCCAAGCCAGTGCATGTGGTGGCATGCAGAGGGCTGCCCCTGTCACGATCTCCCTGTCTTTTGTAGAAATCTGGCTGCTGGTATGATGTGAAATAGTTAGTGCTTGTCTTGTCGGCCGCCACGCATGCTTGAGAACAGCTTTGTTTGTTCTCCAGGACTTCTGGGTCTGGGGAGGAGGGCAGGCATGTGTTCCTATCCAGGCATGGCCTGAGCTTACCTGGCTCCTGGAGTAGAGCGCCCCCTGGTCCATGAGCAGAGGTTCACACCCTGGTAATCATGAAGACTTGGCCTTCAGCTGAGCTGCTGTTCTGTTTTTCAGGAACATACAATGTTTCCACCCCGGAAATAACCAGCTCATCCCTGGAAAACACATCCAGTGCTTATTCATTGCTCAACTAAGAACAGGAGAATCCAGCCCATGGAACCTCTTGGGGAACAGTGGACGTTCTCTGAAAAAGAGATCCTTACCAAGCCATGGATAAAATGTTTTCTCCGCAGGCTTCAGGGAACAGATGCTGAAGAGACTTTTTCATTAGGGAAGGGGCTTTCTTTTGTAAATACAGACTAAAAGGAATTGTTACATTTATGTTGCAGCCCTACCCCCACCCCTTGTGTGATACCGAATGTGTATAGTATTTAAGTGAAACTCAAGCCAACTTCTCTGTCTATATTGTAAAATAGAATTTCAGAGACATTTTTACTTTTCACACCCTGGGCCCAAAGATAACCTTTGATTAAAATAATAAGTGAAAGGCTAGGACCTAGGAAATACTTCAGTGAATTCTAGGAAGGAAGGAAGGAAGGCAAGAAGAAAGGAAGAAAGAAGGGAGAGATGGAGGAAACTAGAAGGAAAAGAAAAAAATAGAGAACAACATAAGGACCATATTTTAAGATTTCCATGTTAATGACCTAATACAATTGCTTCTCAGGTGCTGCAACACTGAAAATTCAAAAATGACTCCAAAATGGAAATGGAAAATTAGCCGTGGAGAAACTTCAATATCTTCCTGGTATTTCCTTAGTTAAGAGGGACCAAAAAAAACCACAAAAGCAATGAAAAAATTAGGGAGGAAATTATATCAAAGATGCTTTCAAGTGGATGATAATATTTACAAGAAATTCATGGAAGAAGACATGATTCTCCTGATGCTAAACATATACACATATGCTACTGTATGTTAAGGTTGGAGCTAAGTGGAATGAATAGACAGAGAAAGTGTGATGGCCATGCCTTATTAGATCACAGCAGACCAACTGCTGATTACACTTTTATAGTTTAGCAGAAAAGGCTTATGTTTTGCTTCCACTTTTTGAAAGCAAAAAAAATATATTTTTATATCCATTCATTTCCAAATGTGATATATTGCACTGAAATACAGAACCCCCTCTACTGTCATATATTAACAGCTTTAACCAGGTACTTTTCTGTGCATGATAGAATAGATTTTCATGACCTTACAGCATTGTATATTATTATTGTTGTAGTTACTGTGGATTTAGGGGCCCTGGGTGTGTTGTATAGCTCTCTATGTATTAATTCTTTCAGTTCCTAAGTTCCTAGACCAATATACATTAAGAGTTTTCTACTGTCTAATTCGTGTTTATTTCAACCACGTGGAAATCTTCTAGAAAGAAATTTTACAACCAGCTAGTCTGTGCTTCTGATGACACTTTACCTTGATGAACAGATGGTGAAGATTGTTTGTGAATTATGTGCATGTGTGTATTTTGCTTGTGTGTGTGCAGTTCATAAAAATACAAAGATTAAAATAGCATCCTTATCAAAGTTAACCACGTAATGCCGTGGAGCAACTAAGCTCTCACGTCACAACTACTGAAGTCCGTGTGCCTACAGCCCGTGCTCCGCAACAAGAGAAGCCACGACAATGAGAAGCCCGTGCACCGCAATGAAGAGTAGCCCCCGCTCGCCACAACTAGAGAAAGCCCGTACACAGCAACAAAGACCCAACGCAGCCAAAATAAATAAATTAATCTTAAAAAAAATGTTAACCATGTACCGTAGCCACAGCAACCGTACATTCCAAATCAAAGTCGGATCCCAGGGAGACAGTGAAACAGAATAAAAATGTGGGGCTTCTCTGAAAATGTGGGTTGTGTGGTCTTCATAAGGACAAATTTAAACGGGTCCAACCACCAGGAAGAAAGGCCAAAAGAGTCCGAAATTCAGCAACCATTTATTTATTGAGGTTGGAAAGAGTATTCTGTAAATGTTTTAACTCTTTAAAATCTCTTCCGTTTATTTTAAATTTTAAATTCCATTTTCATCTCTCTTTTCTTTATGGAGAGGGGGAGGTGAGACAGAAGTCCTAATGTTTCAAGGAAATGAACTCTTTTTTCATACCTATTCACAAACGACGCAGACATCTATGCCCACATTTGCCTGCAAATTGTCACATCATTATCCCAGCTGAATAGTTCATTATTTAAAGTCCCTAAAGGAAATGATTGTCAGGCTTAACATTTTTCAGGGAATGATCAACTTTGGGCAGAGTTTGGTACTTAGAAGACAGACCCAGAGGTTAGGAGGATGAACTGAATTAGATTTAGCTACTAGGGAAAGCACGGCGTTGCTGCTGTGGCCTCTGGGGTTCTATCAGTGCGGACTGAGGCAGGGTTAGACAGTATGTTAGCACGGCCACCTTGATGTGATCGGCCAGGGAAAGCACAGCACCCTGGAGGCTGTGGGTCTCGTGTTCAAAACCACAAAGTGACAAGAAACACTGACCTTCCACCCGCTTCTGTAGGGATCCTTTGGGAATCATTGTGTTTGACTTTGTGAAGGGGACCTCTGTAATGACAGGAGCCTTCAGCAGGGCTCCCCAGGACGTGGATCTGGCTCTCTCTCCACGTTGATTACTATGGGGGGGGGGCACGTTCACTACCCCCAGCACACACACACACACACAGAGGTGTGCACGTACCTCCCACCTTTCAAGTCACAGCGCCGGATCCAAGTCCCAGGAAAGCTATACAAACAAAACATTGGAGAAATACAATAACCGCTGGTTTTCTGCTCAACTGCAAGACACATAGTTCAGCCACTGCTCTTTGCCAAGATCCTAAAATAAGCAACAGAATTCAAAATTGTAAAAAACAGTGGTCCGTGAATCTGTAAATTACATGAAAGCCGGAGCTGTGCTTGGCCCCAAGGTCACCAGTTCTCAATCCGCAAGGATTCCGAGGCTTTTCACAGCAGATTTCCGAGGGAAGGGAGAACATGGGCTCTGGTTTTGATACAAAGTGAGATATGGGGTCAACTTCACTTGGAAAGTGGGCAATACTTTCCCCACGTCCCTGAAATCTCTCAGTGTATAAAGTCTGTTCCATGGGCCAAAACCTTCTTGCATTAAGGGATGTTCTACGAAGTCAGTTTCTTGCAAAGGGATCTGTGCTAATGCTTCAGAGGTTGTGAGGTTGGAGCATTCACCAATGAGCAATGAATATAAACTACAGAAATATTCTAAGCCCAGTATAATATTCTAAGGCCAGTGCAACACATCATCTCTTGAATGAGTCATGTATCTGCCATCCTCCTTCCCATGCCTTACTGTTTACTTGGAGAAAGAGGTAAATACAGGTCCATGGGGATTTCAGGATGTAGGTTGCTAAGGCCAGAAATTAAGAAGCACTGTGGGAAGTCATAGCCCTCTGTGGTTTATCTAGGGACCTTCAGAGAGGTTGGAAGACTGAAAAAAAAAGTTTCATGGAGACGAGAAAGACTATAGCAACCAGCAAGAACAGGTGGGGGAAGGAGTTATTCTGAGGCAAGTGGAACAGAAAGTCACGACCATTTGAGAAGACAAAAGGAAACAAGTGTGGTCATAGAAATGCCATGTAGGTGGAATGCATTTTATTTGTGGCAGGTGAAGGTGATGTTAAATGGGGCTCTGCACCCCTAAGAGAAAGTCAATAACTCAGGCCAACAGAACTCTGATTCCCTGAGTGTCCAAAATAAAGGAGGGGCTTTCAGTGGGTCTGTCTCTCTCACGTATTTTCTGAACGCCAGTGAAAATAGTGTCTCATCATTTCAAAGATGTTAGCTTTGGAATGAGATGCTACAGGTTTCTAATTTATGACTTGGGATTTTCAGCCGTGTCTTAATAGCATGCCAGCATACAGCTCTGTGTCTTTTCTGTGCTTATAACAATAAAAATCTAACAAGATCGAGTGAAGTTTTCTTTATATAAATTGTCTGTGCTCTTGGAATAGGCTACTGCTGTTGTTTCAGGCTTCCCCACGTCCACCAGAATTTAATTCCGTCTTCTTCAGTGAATGGTCACATCTATTCTCCAGGTATGGGGGTGAGGGTGAGGGGTGTCAGAAATTCACAGCTGAGCTCAGCTGGCTGACAGAGCTGATGTCTTTCCTCACACCATCCACACTCGCACTCAGCATGTGGAGTCCAGAAGCTTAAGAGGCTTTAAACAGGGGACCTGGAAGTAATGCTTTCAGGACCTGACTGTCTGGGAAACAAATAAACAAATGCCTGTTCTGACATTTGGATGTGGCTTGGTTGGAATTTTCATGGACTGCCAAAAACAGAGCCCCATGGGTTCTGTTAGCAACAGATATTTCTGCAACACGGTCCTGTATTTCCTGTATTCGTTTTCTACTGCTTTGTAACATACTACTGCAAACTTAGAAGCTGAAAACCACACCTGTTTGTTATCACGCAGTTTCTGGGCATGACTTAACCTGGTCCTCTGCTCAGGGTCTCATCAGGCTGAACTCAAGTTGTTGGCCAGGGCTGCGGTCTCATCTGAAAGCTGGGGTCCTCCTCTGAGCTCAGTGATTGCTTGGCAGAATTTCATTCTTTGTAGTTAATAGGACTGAGGTCCTTAGCTCCTGGAGGCATCCAACCATCCCCTGCCATGTGGTCTTCTCCCAATAAGGCAGTTTGCTTCTTCAAAGTCAACAGAAGAGCTTCTATGCTGCTTTGAATCTCTGTGACTTCTTCAGTCTCTGATCTCCAGACCCTCTTTTAAAGGACTCACCTGATTAGGTCTGGCCCACCCACGATAATCTCCCTTGAGATTAACTCAAAGCCAGGTGATTAGGGACCTTAATTACATCCGCAGAATTCCTTCACCTTTGCCCTGTGATGTAATCTACTCATGGGAGTGACATCTCATCAGAGTCACAGGTCCGGCTCCCAGTGCAGGGGAGAAGATGATACAAGCTATTTCTTCAGATTCTTTAAAAAAACAAAGTTAGGGATTTCCCTGGTGGCACAGCGGTTAAGAATCCGCCTGCCAATGCAGGCGACATGGGTTCGAGCCCCGGTCCGGGAAGATCCCACATGCCACGGAGCAACTAAAGCTGTGCGCCACAGCTACTGAGCCTGTGCTCTACAGCCCGTGAGCCACAACTACTGAGCCCATGTGCCACAACTACTGAAGCCCGCGTGCCTAGAGCCCATGCTCCACAACAAGAGAAGCCACCACAGTGAGAAGCCTGTGCACCGCAACAAAGAGTAACCCCCACTCGCCACAACTAGGGAAAGCCCAAGCACAGCAACGAAGACCCAACACAGCCAAAAATAAATTAATAATTAAAAAAAAGTTAAGGACCCAGCACTGCTCTGTAGAATCTGTATGAGGCCTAAGCTGCAGATATGTGACCTGCAAACTTTCCTTTGTCCATAAGAGTACTCACGCTGCGAAGGGTCTCTCTGGCAGTATCAGTAATAAGGCTTGTGTGCTGCCAGTATATCAACGTTATTCTGTCTGCTGAATATGCAAATGTGACGGAAGGCACCCTTCCCAAGGGGATGGCTTCCAGCTGTGTGGAAATTCAGGAAAAGTGCCGTGTGGGAAAGCTTGACTTGTCCAGATGAAAAGAGGCACACAGCTCCGTAGCAGACCGCCTTCCCCACGCGGCGTGCGTCTGGTATGGCAGGTAGAGTGAGCCCAGGAGCTCTAATGTACTCAGTCTAAAGTACGTTTGACATTTAGGCCAACAGGGCAGAGATCTGAGTACACAGGTGCTGGCCTGTTCTCTAAGCTTTTGTTCATCTGACCTCCCACTCCTTAAAAACCCAGTCAAAGTGCTCCTCCTATGCTGGGCACTTCTCATCCTTAAAGTTTCCCACCCCACCCCCACCAGTGACGTGCTGCCACCTGCAGCCCGTGCCTGGAACTGGAAAAGTTTTCATACCTCAGGAGACGCATCCCTCTCTCATGGCGTTAACCTGCCATCACATGCTTGCATGGGTCACAGGACTTTGTCTGGAATTGTCTGCTCTTTTGCCCTGATGTTTGTCTTTTCTTTTCTTTTTGTGTGTGTGTGCACATTTTTACATTTATCTTTTGGCTGTACTGCACGGCAAGCAGGATCTTAGTTCCCCGACAAGGAATGGAACCCGTGCCCCGTGCACTGGAAACATGTTATGGTCCAGCCATAACCACTGGACCGCCAGGGAATTCCCTACCCTGATGTTTTTCTTTGAAAGATAATGTATACATCATTTGGAAAGGAAATTGTTTAGTTTTGTATTTTGAAGACCTTTCCCCCTGGCTTTATGAAGTTTATTCATATAAACAGGAAGAAAAGCATGCTTCCTACGAAT